AGATAGATAGATAGATAGATAGATAGATAGATAGATAGATAGATAGATAGATAGATAGATAGATAGATAGATAGATAGATAGATAGATAGATAGATAGATAGATAGATAGATAGATAGATAGATAGATAGATAGATAGATAGATAGATAGATAGATAGATAGATAGATAGATAGATAGATAGATAGATAGATAGATAGATAGATAGATAGATAGATAGATAGATAGATAGATAGATAGATAGATAGATAGATAGATAGATAGATAGATAGATAGATAGATAGATAGATAGATAGATAGATAGATAGATAGATAGATAGATAGATAGATAGATAGATAGATAGATAGATAGATAGATAGATAGATAGATAGATAGATAGATAGATAGATAGATAGATAGATAGATAGATAGATAGATAGATAGATAGATAGATAGATAGATAGATAGATAGATAGATAGATAGATAGATAGATAGATAGATAGATAGATAGATAGATAGATAGATAGATAGATAGATAGATAGATAGATAGATAGATAGATAGATAGATAGATAGATAGATAGATAGATAGATAGATAGATAGATAGATAGATAGATAGATAGATAGATAGATAGATAGATAGATAGATAGATAGATAGATAGATAGATAGATAGATAGATAGATAGATAGATAGATAGATAGATAGATAGATAGATAGATAGATAGATAGATAGATAGATAGATAGATAGATAGATAGATAGATAGATAGATAGATAGATAGATAGATAGATAGATAGATAGATAGATAGATAGATAGATAGATAGATAGATAGATAGATAGATAGATAGATAGATAGATAGATAGATAGATAGATAGATAGATAGATAGATAGATAGATAGATAGATAGATAGATAGATAGATAGATAGATAGATAGATAGATAGATAGATAGATAGATAGATAGATAGATAGATAGATAGATAGATAGATAGATAGATAGATAGATAGATAGATAGATAGATAGATAGATAGATAGATAGATAGATAGATAGATAGATAGATAGATAGATAGATAGATAGATAGATAGATAGATAGATAGATAGATAGATAGATAGATAGATAGATAGATAGATAGATAGATAGATAGATAGATAGATAGATAGATAGATAGATAGATAGATAGATAGATAGATAGATAGATAGATAGATAGATAGATAGATAGATAGATAGATAGATAGATAGATAGATAGATAGATAGATAGATAGATAGATAGATAGATAGATAGATAGATAGATAGATAGATAGATAGATAGATAGATAGATAGATAGATAGATAGATAGATAGATAGATAGATAGATAGATAGATAGATAGATAGATAGATAGATAGATAGATAGATAGATAGATAGATAGATAGATAGATAGATAGATAGATAGATAGATAGATAGATAGATAGATAGATAGATAGATAGATAGATAGATAGATAGATAGATAGATAGATAGATAGATAGATAGATAGATAGATAGATAGATAGATAGATAGATAGATAGATAGATAGATAGATAGATAGATAGATAGATAGATAGATAGATAGATAGATAGATAGATAGATAGATAGATAGATAGATAGATAGATAGATAGATAGATAGATAGATAGATAGATAGATAGATAGATAGATAGATAGATAGATAGATAGATAGATAGATAGATAGATAGATAGATAGATAGATAGATAGATAGATAGATAGATAGATAGATAGATAGATAGATAGATAGATAGATAGATAGATAGATAGATAGATAGATAGATAGATAGATAGATAGATAGATAGATAGATAGATAGATAGATAGATAGATAGATAGATAGATAGATAGATAGATAGATAGATAGATAGATAGATAGATAGATAGATAGATAGATAGATAGATAGATAGATAGATAGATAGATAGATAGATAGATAGATAGATAGATAGATAGATAGATAGATAGATAGATAGATAGATAGATAGATAGATAGATAGATAGATAGATAGATAGATAGATAGATAGATAGATAGATAGATAGATAGATAGATAGATAGATAGATAGATAGATAGATAGATAGATAGATAGATAGATAGATAGATAGATAGATAGATAGATAGATAGATAGATAGATAGATAGATAGATAGATAGATAGATAGATAGATAGATAGATAGATAGATAGATAGATAGATAGATAGATAGATAGATAGATAGATAGATAGATAGATAGATAGATAGATAGATAGATAGATAGATAGATAGATAGATAGATAGATAGATAGATAGATAGATAGATAGATAGATAGATAGATAGATAGATAGATAGATAGATAGATAGATAGATAGATAGATAGATAGATAGATAGATAGATAGATAGATAGATAGATAGATAGATAGATAGATAGATAGATAGATAGATAGATAGATAGATAGATAGATAGATAGATAGATAGATAGATAGATAGATAGATAGATAGATAGATAGATAGATAGATAGATAGATAGATAGATAGATAGATAGATAGATAGATAGATAGATAGATAGATAGATAGATAGATAGATAGATAGATAGATAGATAGATAGATAGATAGATAGATAGATAGATAGATAGATAGATAGATAGATAGATAGATAGATAGATAGATAGATAGATAGATAGATAGATAGATAGATAGATAGATAGATAGATAGATAGATAGATAGATAGATAGATAGATAGATAGATAGATAGATAGATAGATAGATAGATAGATAGATAGATAGATAGATAGATAGATAGATAGATAGATAGATAGATAGATAGATAGATAGATAGATAGATAGATAGATAGATAGATAGATAGATAGATAGATAGATAGATAGATAGATAGATAGATAGATAGATAGATAGATAGATAGATAGATAGATAGATAGATAGATAGATAGATAGATAGATAGATAGATAGATAGATAGATAGATAGATAGATAGATAGATAGATAGATAGATAGATAGATAGATAGATAGATAGATAGATAGATAGATAGATAGATAGATAGATAGATAGATAGATAGATAGATAGATAGATAGATAGATAGATAGATAGATAGATAGATAGATAGATAGATAGATAGATAGATAGATAGATAGATAGATAGATAGATAGATAGATAGATAGATAGATAGATAGATAGATAGATAGATAGATAGATAGATAGATAGATAGATAGATAGATAGATAGATAGATAGATAGATAGATAGATAGATAGATAGATAGATAGATAGATAGATAGATAGATAGATAGATAGATAGATAGATAGATAGATAGATAGATAGATAGATAGATAGATAGATAGATAGATAGATAGATAGATAGATAGATAGATAGATAGATAGATAGATAGATAGATAGATAGATAGATAGATAGATAGATAGATAGATAGATAGATAGATAGATAGATAGATAGATAGATAGATAGATAGATAGATAGATAGATAGATAGATAGATAGATAGATAGATAGATAGATAGATAGATAGATAGATAGATAGATAGATAGATAGATAGATAGATAGATAGATAGATAGATAGATAGATAGATAGATAGATAGATAGATAGATAGATAGATAGATAGATAGATAGATAGATAGATAGATAGATAGATAGATAGATAGATAGATAGATAGATAGATAGATAGATAGATAGATAGATAGATAGATAGATAGATAGATAGATAGATAGATAGATAGATAGATAGATAGATAGATAGATAGATAGATAGATAGATAGATAGATAGATAGATAGATAGATAGATAGATAGATAGATAGATAGATAGATAGATAGATAGATAGATAGATAGATAGATAGATAGATAGATAGATAGATAGATAGATAGATAGATAGATAGATAGATAGATAGATAGATAGATAGATAGATAGATAGATAGATAGATAGATAGATAGATAGATAGATAGATAGATAGATAGATAGATAGATAGATAGATAGATAGATAGATAGATAGATAGATAGATAGATAGATAGATAGATAGATAGATAGATAGATAGATAGATAGATAGATAGATAGATAGATAGATAGATAGATAGATAGATAGATAGATAGATAGATAGATAGATAGATAGATAGATAGATAGATAGATAGATAGATAGATAGATAGATAGATAGATAGATAGATAGATAGATAGATAGATAGATAGATAGATAGATAGATAGATAGATAGATAGATAGATAGATAGATAGATAGATAGATAGATAGATAGATAGATAGATAGATAGATAGATAGATAGATAGATAGATAGATAGATAGATAGATAGATAGATAGATAGATAGATAGATAGATAGATAGATAGATAGATAGATAGATAGATAGATAGATAGATAGATAGATAGATAGATAGATAGATAGATAGATAGATAGATAGATAGATAGATAGATAGATAGATAGATAGATAGATAGATAGATAGATAGATAGATAGATAGATAGATAGATAGATAGATAGATAGATAGATAGATAGATAGATAGATAGATAGATAGATAGATAGATAGATAGATAGATAGATAGATAGATAGATAGATAGATAGATAGATAGATAGATAGATAGATAGATAGATAGATAGATAGATAGATAGATAGATAGATAGATAGATAGATAGATAGATAGATAGATAGATAGATAGATAGATAGATAGATAGATAGATAGATAGATAGATAGATATTGGCTAGTGTTAAACTACCATGTCCTAATTATTTTTTAAATTCCTTAACGGCAACCCACTGATATATAACATTACAAACCACATATTAGTCTACGCCCTTTTCTATTCTTAGTTGTTTTTTTTTTCAAGGAAATCTGATGTTTGTTCAAATCAGCCAGTCTGGACCGGTTTCTTAACTGCTATAAAAAGAGGGAACGCTGTGACTTAGGAAAGGCAGTGACATTAAACCACATCTAGCATATGAGATTTCAACCCAAGTCATAAGGTCTTATTCTGTGTGATTTTTGACATTGCATTCAAGAGTAAGTATAAGTACGAATACTAATTAAATTACATTTATCTTTCGTCTATTTAACATAATTTAATTAAACCATTTGGAAGTAATGCAACAGAAAATTTAGAGATGTTTTCTGAGGTTTACGTATATTTAGGACTACGTTTAAGGTCTACGGCCTCGTTAACGCCCACAGCTTGATCTACCGCTACATCTTGGGATAAAGCTCTTTCGCTATGTATTAGTTAAAAAAGTATTTAAATAACTTTCTTATTTAATCAACAGGAACAATTCACTTAAGGGTTAATAACTAACACAGCTTTTTAAAATTTGTAACATTATTCATTTTTAACAGGAATATAAATTATACCGATATAATAACTCAATAGTATGGCCAGTGAAGACATTTCAAAACATTTCACAGGTAATTCAAGTATAACTTTTTCTATAGAAAATATGTAAACTTGATCAATAAAAATAATGACGTCATAAAGATTGTTTTAAGTTAAGATCTGGTGTAATAGTTGTGTTGTAGTATTATTGTATAATTATTTTAAGAGAAATTTTGTTTACAGGTACGTATGAGGTGCAGGAACTTCTTGAGGGTCAAGATGAGTTAGATTTACACACACAACAGAAAAACTGTCAGAAAAATCCTGGCCATGTAGGCTTTGTACCGATAAATAAGTTTTCCATTAGCGATTTACCTGCTGATTACCAAGACGACGACTTATACGAATTCACAAAAGCTCTGGCTTTCCGGACGGTTAGAATAGCCGTCAATTTCACCAGTTTACTTAGACCTGAGTTTGCAACCTACACTAAAGACCCATATCCTTGCTACCAATACAGGGGAGAGAATAATTTGTGTACAGGAACTGGGAATATGATTAGTGTGTCAAAAGACATGGAATACATGGGCGGCTACAGAACTTGTCCATGTCCGAAATGTGAAAGCTCTGACAATCCCAGCAAAGTATGGTGGAAAATTCTAGTGGCAACATCCAAACATGTGATTTTTGATGACAGTGAGGCGAAACAGTCCAGCTGTAGGTTATGGTTTGATGACAATAATAGCCCAGTGTTTAAAATTTACGGGTGGAAGACAGATGGGCTATCGAGTGATTTGTCTGATTCGAGTAATGTCTACTTTGTAACACATGAGATAGAAATATTTAATAAATTAAAGGAAATGGAGCTAACATATAATCTTCTTTTGCTTAAATTACATCAGACCTACCAGACTAGAGATGTAAACAAGATGACCATTATAGTGTCCCATCCCCATGGCTGTTCAAAGCAGGTTTCTGTTGGTAACTGGGTACACAGACAGGCTGCTTGTATTGGGTTTGGTGAATTGGATAATTTAGGCAAATACGCGTACACAAATGCAACATGCCCAGGTAGCAGTGGGGCTATGATCTATAGATTGGGAAATTTGATGAATTTATATCGCCATAGCGGAGGTTCCACCAGTGGTTTAAATTTCAGTGGTCTATTTATGGGATAAAGCATATTTTGTTTCTGATATTGACTAGAATGTAATATTAAAAGATTCTGATTATTTTCAGCTTCCACATCAAATATATGGCTTTTATTATGGTAGTTAGCTTATTATTTTAATTATCCATTTGAATGTTGCAAAAAGGAGCAATGTTTTTATCACTTATTTACTGATAAAATATTTAATCTTTTTTTTTATTCTACTCAGATACTGATGTCATATTATCTGTTTTTAGTGCTTAATACATATTTACAAATATTTTGATTCTGTTTGTCTATATTTAAGTTGTGTTGAAGTAGAGGTTTAAACATTCGTTATGTTAGTTAACACATAACTATTTTAATTTAAGTTCTACGTAAGTTTCAAATGTGTAGAAAATGTACTTTGTACTGTATTAAGATTTGTAACATCAAACTAGCAATTAGGAAATTAAAATACAAAGCAGTAGCCTATCTTAAAGTATTAAACGCTCTACATAACGTTATCACTGTCCAACACAGAAACATTTATTTTGAAGAACATAAAATTACACAGGCAATTTCCAGACCTCTCATTTCCTTTACACTTCGTATTAAAGAAACATAATATATAATAAAGTGATTATTCCAATATTAACATTCTTGTACCTTTATTTCTTTATAAAGTAACCAAATTGTCTATGAAGTAGTTTTCATTGGAGTTGTAGTAGAACAAACTATTATAAAACCGTTATAACAAATGATCATAACACCGTTAGAGGTGATATTGTAGTATTAAAGTGTATTTCATGAAGATAGCCTAATTACCACCCGAAAATTTGAATTTCAATGCTGGCTCGACTCCTAAGGACATTTATTTCTTCATCCTGCTGCTATTGGTAACTTACTGAATAAAATGAATTCCAATTCACCTGCGCCATGGATTGTAAGGTACGACAGAGTACTTTACTTTAAGTATTGTTTTGTAGGTTCTATTTTAATTAAAGTCAAATAAATAAATAGATCTAGTAGCATAATGCCATGAAATTAAGGCTTCTGCTGAATAAAATATTTAGGATGTCATCCATAAATCAGTTGGAACAGCCAGGAAATTGGAGCGGTGTAAAATTGTTTACATTTATATGAACCAGCGTACCCGTCGCGTGTTGTTGCGATCTCAGAATAAATCAAATTAAATGACAGTCGTCATGCTAACATTTACTTGACATAGTTCTCATTTTTATTGAAACTTTGGAAGTCACAGATTACATTATTGTAGGGGCGCCGAGTGCGATCGCTGGTTCCGTTTACTCATTAAATGGTAATATCCACCATATACGTAACGAATAAAATGAATATAGGCTCAATAGTGTTCATAATAGAGCTGGGGTGCCTCAAGCCGCCCATAGTTCAATTTGACGTTTGAAACAACCTGTGCAGGATGCCCAATATGTTCAGGTAGCCGCATGGAAACTCGGGCACCAAACCTTAGTCTACTACCATGACGCAGTTCGATTTAGGCATCGATTTCAGAAGGTAACCGTAAGCTTACAGAAGATATGCCTACACATAATTTTCATAGAAGTGAAATTTGTATCTTAAAAATTATTTAGTAATCCGGTATTAAAACATTTTATATATCCCCTCCAAACGTTTAGGACTTCTAAAGCCAACTGTTATCCTTTTGTTGCGATTTGAAGAATGGTACCCATACCCGTTAAAGTTTCACACTATTAAGCGGCAGCTGCTTTCTTCGAGAATATATTACATTCTTTATTGCCCGCGATGAAACCAAACACTGTGGCACATGACATTCGATGATTAAACCTAGACAGGGGCAGTACGCGGCGCCCCTGCGGAAGTGTAACTGGGGGCTCCAGAGAGCGCCCTGCTACGTCCCTGACACCTGGAGGTCGCCGAAGTGTGTTCTACCTCACAAATACGGAGATTGAATAACGTACACTAAAGGCTTTCATACAGCAGGCTCTTGTGCTTACTGGGCGGTAGTGTACATAAACTCATGCCCCGAAAAATTTAACCCAAGTTATTTAGCACAGACATTGTTTATATCTAAATAACAGTTTAAGAAAACAAGGCCTCACGTCTAAGAATATTGGATTGGTAACAAAATGATGAAACCTTAAAATATTACGTCATACTTTCTTCTGAGACCGCGGCACAATGCGGACGGGCACGCTAGTCATTTATAAAAATGTAAACTAGTTAATGCAGGATAGAGATAGAGTTCGGTTAGCAAATTCATCTGCCTAATTAGTGGTAGAAATATTCACTGAGCTAATGAAAAAATTATTTTTTTTTAAACTATAATTAAGGTTAAAGAGAAAAATGTGTTGACGGATAAAGGCCTATTATAAGATTATATTGCAAGCAAGAAAAAAAGAAGCCTACATGATTTGTGATACCTGAGATAAAAGAATGGATAATCTAACAGTCCGCAAAGTCAGGCTTATGTTATGTTAGTAACGGCAATTGTTTCAGATTAGAACCTCGCACCATCATATTGTCCGATTGATATTATAGGACGTCTCATATGTTACGGTAACATAGACATTTAGTTTACAGGCCTGATTTATATATGCTACATGTGTAGGGATTTTATGTATTATATCGTTACATGTGAAGAATACCCGGCACTCTTACACCTAATATCACGCTATAAACAACCACCAATGGGCGACGACCCGAGTAATTTGCCAAGTTCAGACAGTAAGGACTGGTAGCAGATGCTTCTCCAGAAATTTTTGCAGCCACAACTTTAATGCGCATAATCCAAGTGTTTTACCAAAAGTAAATTCAGCCTAACAATAAAATCAGGAGAATTAGGCTGAAAATAGGACGTGTAATGTCCTTTGTATTTTTTTTAACCTGCAGGTCCATTGAGGAAGTAGAGTTCGCCTGTTTCAATGAAAGGGATATTGTGGTCAGAACTATATTCAGTCTTTACTTTCCCTAACGTGAGTAAGGTGCCCATTACAGAAGGGAAACTGAGCCCGGATTCGAACTCGTGAATTATGGGTTGTCATTCCCATTGTGTTAGTAGTGTTTATGTATAGTTGTAACTTGGGTGAACTTCGGATGAACCAGCTATTCACTTGAAAGATGAAAATCTTCGTTTTCTTTTAGCGACTTTGACTTCTCGATGGTCTCGATAATTTTGTTGATCTTGATCTTCCCATCAGAGGTGTAAACCTTCTCTTTGGTGCCGTGAGACATTACGACACAGACAAACATGGCGTAGTTTGAGTAATTATTTGCTGTACCTGGTGATTCACACAGAGGACATAGTGACAAAACAACTAAACTCTACCTTTCTCCCTATGTATATATATATATATATATATATATATATATATATATATATATATATATATATATATATATATATATATATCAGTGGCGTAGCGAGGTCGGGTGTCACCCGGTGCGGCACTTAATGGTGTCACCCCCCCAGAGGCATAGAGACCCTTCCCAGGGACAAACTTTCAAGTTTTCGATTTGCACCCCCCCCCCCTCAAACTTTCGATTTGCACCCCCCCCCTCGAGTTTTCGATTTGCACCCCCCCTCAAACTTTCGATTTGCACCCCCCCCCCTCGAGTTTTCGATTTGCACCCCCCCTCAAACTTTCGATTTGCACCCCCCTCGAGTTTTTCTCTATATATTTTGCTATTTTTTGCCTTGGTGTCACCCCCCTAAATGGTGTCACCCGGTGCGGTCCGCACCCCCCGCCCCCCCCCTCGCTACGCCCCTGATATATATATAATTTTATGTATGTGGTCTAATTATAACCGCCGCCGAACAACGTGTAGTCCTCCCCAAACTCTCCAGCTTTAAAAGCGAAGACGAAACAATGGAAGGAATTATAAACTACATGATGGCTTATATATATATATATATATATATATATATATATATATATATATATATATGTAATTTTTTTATATGTGATTTTCCTTTATAGATGAAATCAATAATATACTAAGCTTTATCATTTTACTATGTTGTGTTTTTACGTAGATCAAAATATGCTAGTGTACTTGTATGTTTTTTTTTTTGTATCTCCATGTACTTGACACAATGTATCCATATGGAGAAACGTTTGAGAATGTATAATCAGAGTTTCTTCCGGGCATCTCTTTCGCACCCCCCCCCCGAAGAAAGTCAACTGCCCCCCCCCCCCCCTGAAAATTTCTACTGCCCCCCCCCCCCCCCCGGAGAAAAAAAGTCTGGAAGAAACACTGTGTATGATTAAAACGTCATCCAGTCTCGGAATATGTGTAGTTTGGTGAGACCGATGCTTACGGGAACAAACATTGAAATAAATTCATAATTTCTATGATTTTTTTTGTTGTTGTCTCATATAAGGTGTATTATGTTCGCGAATAGTTTGAGGTTTAATGTAAATAATGTATAATCATAACTGTATGTAATAGAGCTACTCCACTATAGCGCACTGCTTAATGTATTAATCACATTAATGAACCACTATTTCAATCAATTTAATTATAACAGGTCTAATATAAATGCTTACGTAATCTATTGCACCGATTAAAGTCAAGCTTCATTGTGTTATGTTTATTCCACGCACGACTTAACTAAATCCGTTTGTCTGTAATGTGAGATTGTTTTTTTCCACATGAACTCGTCTGTATAAGGTTGAAACAAGACGACTTGGCTTTGTGCCATAAGACTGCTTCAGCAACTCAAATATTACAAGAAATGTCTTTGTTTTACAATATGCGTGTGATCGGTGATTTCATGTGGTTTAACAGCTCCAAGAAATTTTAAAATAACATTTCTTGGAAGGGAAGTTTATCTTCAAGGTCGGCATTGTTGACTTGCCCTGGCACTCGAATATACGTGCGTTACTGTACAAGGCAATACAGTTAACTACAGCACCATAGTTTGATTGTCGTAAAGATGCTAAGTTACAAAAGGAGACAACACAATAAGAAATATTGCATAACGAATGTTATAATAACAAGTTACAATGTAATGATGCACAAAAAAACGAGAAAAGGAATTATTTTCTTTAAATCTATAATAATACACTACTATTCAAAACCTATAACGACAAACGTGGGACACTTCCTAAATATTAGTAAAGGTATCTAAATGATAATATATGGACTCACGCTTTTCTTTCTTTATAATTATTTAAACAGCAGTGTAGTATTGTATAATTTAAAGAAAATCATTCATTTTCACCTTTTAGTGCAGTATTTCTTAAGAGCTTGTCATTACAAGCTTTTATTTAACTTGCTTCCGCGGTCGTGCTTTTGTCGTCATAGATCGATATTTGCGAGCGAAATTTCGAACACTTCTATCGGACCGATTTCTCTTAAATTCAGCACGTGGGTCCAGACTCGATGACAATGCAATCTTACATCAAATTTAATTTAATTGGATGAATTATTATTTTCTTTTTTTATGAATTAATTAAAATTTTCTAAAATTAGTAGGGTGACCTACCATTTACAATCACTATTATAGCTCATTATAACATACATGCTTGTATTAAATCGCACGCTCCTTCTATGATTAAGCATATACAGAGGAAGCATGTTAAATAAAAGCTTGAAAAAATGTATTTAGTAAACCTTGCAATTGATATTTAAGTTCAATTACTCTTAACCCAAGTTTACAGAGAGCACACATGGAGAACAAGGGTGGTTTCTGTCTTCTAGTACACAAGGCCAGAAATGCTGTTGTGTAAAGTATTATTTAATTGCTTGTTCAATCATCTGTAGGAGACACAAACCTGTTTGTATTAAAATTCTTTTTTTTTTAATTTTATAAAACTTTTATTTACAAATAAAACAAATACATCAACATTTATGGTGTTTGTCTAGTTTGTCGTATTTGAAAGTTCACAATTAATGTAAAAGGAAAAGGAAAACAAAACACGTATTTTTCACAAAGTGCTTCAGTAGAGTTGAAACGAAAGGAAATAAATAATGAATGCTGTACTAATTTAGTACTTTCTGTACAAAAGCATTTGGCCATGTACAATGTAGAGCTTGTGATGGGAAATATTTGAGAAGAATAAACAATTCGTTGTAAATGACTAATAATCGAGGGGGGGGGGGTGTTACAGTTAGCAAGGTGGTACCGTATCGGGAAGGCTGCTTGATTTTGAGGCCCTATCACACACACATTGGCAGAAATACTTTTTTTGATTCATTTAATTAGTCATGGTTTTATATCTAATCTCGTATTTTCAATATTTGTTTTGATTAAAAATATAATGCACTCAAGTGCCTTTTTATGATGTCCTCTATTTATATTATTAAAAATGCGTTAAGGATGAGGCTAGCTGAAGAAAATGTTGGGTGGGTTTAATATTCACTATTAGTATATTCTTAATTATTACTTTTAAAATGTGTACTTAAGCGCTCAATACAGACGAACCTACAGACAGATAGTTTGATCATCCTCGTCTCTCATAAAGTTGTTCATGTTTGTGTTGGCGTGCGCGCGTTTGTTCAGAATATAAACCCTCAGCCGGATTAAAAAGTAGCCACAACTCAGGCAACCATTTTTCTTTTCTGAACTTTTTAAATCGGATTAAAATATAGATTTACTTTAATCTCGCAAAACTTAATTTAAAATTATTCTTACCACCCATGGCGCTTCGTCCACACTCCCATTTGTCAATGAACGCACTTTTTGTACTTAAAAGAATATTTAACTATAATTAAATATTAACGGAACTGGCAAAAAAAAAAGCTTTTTCCTTCAGTAAATTTTGCAATTTTTTTTGCCTTGATGTACCCCCCCCCCCCTCTAAACTGTGTCACCCGGTGCGGACCGCAACCCCCGCCCCGCCCTTGATACGCCTATGCTCCTTGCTTTTGAAGAAGCGGTAAGTAAAAAGACGTTGTTTAGCAGTACCATCGAAAACATCGCCGCGAAGGCAAGTTGTAGTTTCTCTCCATTGCGCATGCGTATCTTTTTCCGGCTAGAATCGAGTTTTTTACTATGCCATACTAATTTTTGGAAAGAAAAAAAAATCAAGCATTCATAAACAATTGATAATAAAAATGAGCGAAACTATTTTTTGGTGATAGTAACGCTCTTCTCGATATAAAGAGTAGACTAATCACTAAGATGATAGATCTAGATCTAGATCTAGATCTAGCAGTAGCATCAAAATCTAGTCTTGATTTAGATTCTATACACTAACTATGGGCCTACTAATCAACTTAATTAATAAAAACATTGGACTAACTAGCAGTAGCAGACTCTAGATTTTAGATCTAGATCTAGATCTAGTAAACTTGAATAGTAGACTATTAATTTATTTTGTTAGCAGTTTTTTAAAGTGCATTTGAAAAATTGTTTAAGGGGGCCTAATTATTAATATTTCTTTATTATTTTTTTATTTAGCCACAAAGGGGCCCAAAGACTTGGCCTAAGGCGCCCTAAGGTAGGCCGTTGACTGCCTTTTAGTTTTTTTGGCGGCCGTGCTAAGCCGTAGGCGTACCCGATATACTATTAAATTATATTAATTATTTACTATTTACTATTTAGGCCTAGGCTTTACTCAGGCTTTATTTTATTACATTTCTAGAACTGTGTCCGGTCTGAGGAACTAATGATTCAAATCTAGGCCTAACAAATTATAACAATTATGCTAGGCCTATTTAAATTATAGGCCATTAAATTTAAAACTAGACTTCTAGCAGTTGATAAAAATAGTTAACATGGTAGTTAGTAAACTAAGAAGTATAGTTAGTTGCTTTCTCCATGGCAATCATGGCAGTGAATAGTTAGGCTTATCCTATAGGCCTATACCTATAGTAAGAGGCGTAGTGAGGGGGGGGGGGCTGGGGGTGCGGACCGCACCAGGTGACACCATTTAGGGGGGTGACACCAGGGCGAAAAATAGTAAAATATATAGAGAAAAATTTGAGAGGTAGGGGGCAAATTGAAAGTTTGAGGGGGGGGGGTGCAAATAGAAAATTCAACGTTTGTCCCTGGGAAGAGTCGCTATGCCTCTGGGGGGGGGGGGGGGTGACACCATTAAGTGCCACACCGGGTGACACCCGACCTTGCTACGCCACTGCCTATAGTTTTTGGCAGGATTAGACCTAATCTAAAGCCAGGCAGGGGGTTGTCTAAAGATAAGACTTCCCACTTCTAGTGGAAGATGGTTTTGGAATGTTTTTATATATTCATAACATACGCCGCTATTTAGTTGTTGTTTTTTCTACTTTTTAGTAATTCATAATTTGTGAATTCGACAGTACCAACGCTGACACTGAAAATATTTCTTTAAAACACTATAAGTAGCTCGTTAAGGACCATAACCCCCCCCTTCCTTCCCCCCCCCCCCCCCCCCACAACGTTTAAAATCGTTTCAAACTAAATTATCTGCCCCTAATAGCCGTTACTAAACCCGACTCCACAAAGGTAAACATAGCGTGAACCACAGCTCACTAAGACCATGTAGGGGTGGGGATGGTAGGGAGCGCGTTTACAGCTTGTTTTCTAGCGTCTCCCAGAAGAGAATTATATATATAGATTGTAGGCCTAATAGAAATTGATTAATATAATCCATGTTGACTGAGCTTAGAAAATACTTTAGAAGAAATTGATGTTTTAAAATAACAAGGACACTAGTTTTGATGGAGGGGAGGAAGGGGGGGGGAGTTATAGTTATAGACTGGAATGTGCTGTCTTTTTATTATTTATTTTGGGGTGGGAGGATATTTGGCTTTTTATTACAATGGGGAAGTGGGGGAGGTAACATTCATTAAAAAAGTACATCATTTACAGATGACCCTCAATTATTATTAGCTGATTTCCACCTTTAAATACCCATACTTCAGCATATCACATTGTTATGTCTGTTATCTAAATTTTATGTTTTAGTTGCCAACAGAATGGAAGCAGAAATATTTAATACTGCAGTGACTATTGGGATTAAACAAGAAACAGAGGATGAAACTACTTATAAAGCAGAAAGCATTGTGGTAAAACAAGAAACAGAGGATGAAACTACTTATAAAGCAGAAAGCATTGTAGTAAAACAAGAAACAGAGGATGAAACTAAGACAGATATCTTCACAACGTTTTCACTTTTTGTTGATTCAAAAATATCAAATTCTGATAACATAAAACCAGATGTACCAACATTTTTAAGTGATATGGACATAAAGCCTAGTGAATCAACATCAGCTTGTCATGATGAGAGACAGGATGGATCAAATGTACAGCCCAGCCAGTTATCAAGTTTATCCACGTGTAAAGAACAATTTTCTCTTTTGAAATCTGAGATATATCATGATTTAGATGAGCTCAAGCTAATGCATACAGAAGCCATACGTCATGATTTAGTTAAATCCAAGTTAATGTATACAGAAACCATAAATCATGATTTAGAAGAGCTTAACCTTATGCATACCGAAGTCGTTGATCACTTATCTGTAGATAATCAGGTAAGGCACTATTGTGATACTAGTCCCCGAATATTTGTCCTGAAGTCTAATTTACTTAATGAAAAAATCCTTCTTGTTTAGATCAACTTGAGAATGTTTTTTATAAATATCTATTTAATACATCTTAATGTTTAATACAATGTAAGACAATTTATTCTTTGTAAACTGTATATCGGTTTAAATCCACATTATGTAAAAAGTCGTCCTTTGTTACCCCCCCCCCCCCCCCCCCCCCAACCCCTTCATACAAGTTTTCACACTTTAGCAGACTTACTTCCTCCAGCACCTCACTTTGTGAAGGAGTTTAACCAAGCAAGGATCATTGTATGGAAATTAATAACCAAGTAGTTTCCCTTTGTACTGTCTGAGCAAATCATGTCAATGTTACAAACAGTTAGTAAAAAAATAACTTTAAATGCTACAGTGTGATGTCACAATTTATTAACACCCTTCCCCTTGTTATAAAGTCCTCTCCCCCATATGACCCTTGAAACAACTAACATTGATATAAATATAATGACAAATAAGCATTCATATGTCTATCAACTTGTTATAGTCTAAATGGTACAAATTGCTCGAGTTACACTCAGTGTTAGGGTATAAGAATAGGAGTTGAATGAAGATCATGTTATAATATGTATCATGCTTATCCAACTCACCTTAATTTATACTGTATTTATAAACTAAACTTTAATAGAGTGTGAAGCTATCGCTATCTTTATGTGATACTTTTGATAATTTGACACTTGAAACAAAAATTGTCTGTTGTAGACTAACCACAGAAAGCGCAAGATCTCTGAGTCATGTTCACTCGGTGTATCGCCTCAAAAAAAGAAGTAAGCTTAATCTTAACAATATTAACTTGACATTGAAAACATAAGTATTTAGTGATTACTTCTTTACAAAACTTGTGTACAACATCTTAAACATGTTCAAATGTTCAAATTTCAGAAAGAGTACAGTTTCAGCAACAAAAATGATCGGGGTATGAAATTATAATAATATTCAGCTTTAACTATTTGTTTGATGTTGGTTTGTGATTAAAATCATATTATATATTTTTTAAGAACATTTTTTTTTTCATGTTATTATCTGTTAAAAGTCCTGTAATATATTAATTTTAAAATCCACATTTACTAAAAAGTAGGGAATTTCTTATTGGACACAAATAGTAAACTACCAGTTGCCCAACTCATTTAAAGATATAACCTAGTATGTGTTTGCTTTAATATTCCTCTGTTGTTAAAATTTTCCTTTGATATAATCATTTATGTTACTTATATAAATTTAACTTTTCTTAATCTGTGATTGGTAATGAAGACATTTTAGGAGTAAAGTGGTATAGTTATTGTATAATTGTTTTCTTTTTACTAGAGACCCAAGCAAAGTAGAAAACAGCAATCACTTGTTGAAGGTGTTGATCAGCAAGCCAAAAGGATCAGGTATGAATTATTGTTTATATGAATTATTGTTTACAGCTATGTTAAATATAAGGCAACTATGTATCATTTGCACCATGTTTGCGAGATTAGCTATTGTGTTTTAGTTGACAGGGAAAATAAAAATAAAAAAATAAATAAAAATAAGTCATCGGCTTGATTTCCCCAATATTTTGTGAATTTGGCCATGCAAGTTTCGAAAACAGGATTCTGCCAGTGTGGAAAACCAATAGAAATAAATTATTTTATTATATTTAGTCAACTTGATATTTGTGCTCATATTTACATGTTTTGTTCTAGTAAAAGAATACTCAAAGCAAAAAAGAAAATCAAAACAAACCATGTGCCACTTGATACACCAGTAAAGGTAGTTAGCATTATTTTAAATTCATATTTTCTTTCTTGTATTTCTCAATATTTAAGGAAGTATTGTAATTGTGCAAGAAATCAAGATCAAATTTGATATATTTTGCTTCATTAACACCTGTTTAGTCAAGAAAATCTTTTCAGAATTTGTTGTACTCTCTAAAGTAGCATTTTCTTGGATCTTTCTAACTGTACATGTTTTCTCAAAAAAAGTAGTTTTGTCACAAACTCACTACTATTCCTATAGGCAGGAATCCTAACCTGTTATATATGAATATTGTGAAAGTTTAGCAAAGCTTTTCCATTCTTTTATTGGCTTTCAGATGGCATGGTATAGTGCAAATTGGGTTTGCTTTAATGTTCCTCTGTTGCAAATTTTTAATGGTATTAAGATTGATTTGACTTCTTTTTAACTGTGATGATATAGATGTGGGGGCTAAAATTGTGGTACGTTTGTAATCAAATGACATGTGATTTTTTCTTTTTTTCAGAGACTTGGGCTAAGAAGAAAAAACCAATCAAATGTTGAGGTTGTCAATCAGCAAGGCAAAAGAATTAGGTATGAATTGTTGTTTAAAGCTACATTAAATAGAGGACAACTTAACTATGTATAATTAGTACCATGGATGCCAGATAGGATTATGAGTTTTAGTTGCCACTAAAAATACAAGGTAAAAAATGTAACACTAGTCATTGACCTGTTTACCCCAAATACATGCTCTGCTATGTGGTAGAGAATGTTGCTGGTTTTATAATAAAAGATGGACTCTGCCACTCAATGAATGTTTATCTTGATATCTTTGCTCAAATTTTCTTACTTTTTTTTCTAGTAAAAGGAGACTGAAAATAAACAAGACACTTAAAACAAATGTGCTAGTTAATACACCTGAACAGGTAAAATGCATTGATTTTTCTAATTTGTAGTGTTCAGAATGCATGTATGTTTATTAAGGTGTTATCTAATTGGCAATTTATTAGATCATAAAAATATACAGTTTAAAAAAACAAACAGGACAGTGTGGCCTAGAAGTAGAGAGCCAGACTGCTAACCTGAAAGTCTCACACCCAATTCTGGGTTCAAGTCTGTAGAATGTCTTTGAGTCCACCCAGCTCTGATGGTGCCTTACTCACATTAGGGAAAACATTACTGGACACATTACTGACCACACTATCCATTCATATGCCAAGCTCTCTTAGGCTGATAAACTCTACTTCATCTGTTCCAAGTGTCTTGGGCACAAATGGGAAAAGATGATGATAGGAAAATTATCTTCCTTGAAGATATAGAGAATCAAAATAAAAAGTTTTCATTTTAAAATACAAAGTGACTTCAAATTTCAATATACACTAATTTAAAGTATAATGAGCCAGATGTTTGCTTGAATATTTCTTTGTGGCAAATTTTTTAATGATATAGTTATTAATGTTACCTATAAAGTTTGACTTCTTATAATCTGTGATTATACAGATGCGGGAATTGAACTTGTGGTACATTAATGGTCAAATGACATGTGATTTTTCCTATCAACAGAGACTCAGGCAAAAAAGGAAAAGAAAATCTTATGTTGAGGTTGTTCATCAGCATGGCAAAAGAATTAGGTATGAATTGTTGTTTAAAGCTATGTTAAATAGAAAACAACTGTTTAATTAGTACCAAGGATGTTGATGATTTTTTTATGGCACTGAAAATACAAGGTAAAATGTAACGCTAGTTATTGACCTGTTTACCCCAAATACATGTACTCCTACATGGTAGAGAATGTTGCTGGTTATATAATAAAAGACAGATTTTACAACTCAACAAATGTTGATCTTGACATGTATGCTCAAATTTACTTACTTTCTTCTAGTAAAAAGAAACTGAAAATTAAAAAGAAACTTAAAATAAGTGTGCCAATTGATACATCTAAACAGGTAAAAATGCATTCATTTTTTTTTATCTCATTTGAAGTTTTCAGAATTCATTTAGGGGATATCTAGTTATGCAGTTTATTGAGATAGTATATGTTTAGGAAAAAAAATCTTTCTTAAACATATTGTGTATCAAAATAATATAATACTTGAATAGCCTACTTGTATATACACACTACATGTTTCAGCATTTTATTATGGGATTAAACATAAATGTGCATAAACTTCACAATATATTTTTAAAATTAGAGAAAACTAATTATCATCTGATTAGCCCACTAACATGATAAATAGTTTATACTCAGTATTTTGTAATGTCCACTTGCTAGGGTGCTGAGAACATTGGTGCCTCTAAATCTGAATCAGGTAACCCAGGTAAGAATTTCTATTATATTTAATTAGTTGCTTTTCAATTATTTATATTTACTTCCACAATGTGTTTCATGCAGATTCTGATTTAATCATTATTTTGTCTGAAAGCCAAACCAACATTTATCAAACTGAGATGATTGGATCATAACTGTGTTAAAATTGCTAGACATGTTTTCCAACCCTGTGTGCAGATAAAATACATTATTCATGTTTTTATAGATGAAAGTGCCAAGAAACCCACTGTGAAGAGAAGACACTTGAAAGTGGGATACTGTTATTATTGCAAAAAGTTATTTAAATCCCAAATATCAAAGCACTACCTTCAAGTGCATCGAAAAGAAAGTGAAGTTCAACAAATTATGCAGCTTCCAATTGGCTCAGTGAAGAGAAAAAAAGCTTTAAGGATTTTACTAAATAAAGGGAATTTTAAGCACAACGCTGAGGTAATTTTTTTAAACTTCTCTAATTGAGAAAATAATTTTTATAAACTCTTGCTTCCATTTTTTAAATCAGTTGATTGTCTGTTGATCAGTGTGCTATTTTTTACTTATTTTTCCAAACATTTAGGTTTTAGAGCTTGGAGTGGGAAACATTGTTACAATGATGAATCGTTCCCACAGTTCAAAAGCTACAGATTACAAGTCCTGCACTAAATGTTTTGCTTTTATAAAAGCAAATGGAACCTCACAGCACCTAAAGCGTTGCCCAGCATTGATTAACGTAGAAGGAAAGCTGGGTACAAACCAAGAGCCACTTGATACACCTGAACAGGTTAAATTTTTAAATTTTATTTTGATTTGTTGTTTGCAGCTGGCTTATAACATGTGTTCTTTAGGTTGATATTTAGGTGACAGTTTATAAAGATCACAATAATATGAATTTTTTCAAAAAATAATTCCATTGTAGATGTTTGACTGCCCAATTGCTACAGTTGACGAGAACAATATTGAGGTCAACTCTGTAACAATCAACCCACGTAAGTATTTTATATAATTGTGTTACAAATAATTTATATTTTCTGTTACTAATGTTTTTCCTGCAGATTCTGGTAAAATAAATAGCTATTTAAGGCTTTTTTACACCTTTTAATCCAATGTGTTTTGAGCTGTTCCTAAATTATGGAAAATGTTAAAATGGCTAGACTAATCTAGGACTCTGACTATAATCCTAATTCAACTTTTTATGAGGATATCATTAAATACATTATTTATCTACATTTTATTTTAGTGGATGAGCATACAAATAAGCCTACAAGGAACAAAAGGCCCATTAAAATAGATTGCTGTTATTATTGCAAGAATTCATTTAAATCCCAAATCTCAAAGCACTACCTACAAGTGCATCGAAAAGAAAGTGAAGTTCTAAAAATTATGCAGCTTCCAATTGGCTCAGTGGAGAGAAAAAAAGCTTTAAGGATTTTACTAAATAAAGGGAATTTTTATCACAACACTGAGGTAAATTTTTTATCACAACATTGAATAACTGAGAAATTTATTTTTAATACCCCATCTAATGCTTCCCTTTATAAATGGTGATCTAAATGTGTTTTTGAAACTTTTCACTTGTTTAGGTTCTGAAGCTTGGAAAAGGGGACCTCATTCCAATTAAACACTGCAAAGGATTCACAATCAAACATTACGTGCCTTGTACAAAATGTTTTGCTTTTATAAAGAAAAAACAAATATCCCAACACCAAAGGCATTGCCCTGCCACAAAAGGAGTTGAAGAAAGAAATGCCTTGAGGCTTGGGAAGACCATGCTCTCTTCCTTAATACCAGTGACTGATGAGGATAATCCTGAAGTCCTAGAAATATTTGAGAAAATGAAAGAAATAAACAAATATCCAGAGATTAAGTCTGTTTGCAAGAATGATCCTCTTATTTTTGAATACTGCAAATCCCTTGTAGGAAAGTTATCTGAATCACATGAACAACATCAAAAAGATAAAGACAATATTCGAACAAAGTTAAGACATTTAGCCAGGTTATTGCTATTGTTAAATAATGATGAAATCGACAGAAAAGATTTATCTTTTTTTATAGCTGCAGCTAATTTTGACAAGGTTGTAAAAAAGGTTAAATTCATGTCAGATGAGGCTGGATCTCCGTCACTAGCTATGTTGCTAAAGAACCACCTTAAATATATTTGTATTTTAAAGAAATGTATTGGCATTAGATTAAAGGATGAAACTTTACAAAAAGAGGCTGAAGAATTTGAAAGTTTATGCTGGAAAGTCTCAACCGAGAGTGACTTAATTTTTGACAAAAGTCAATCAGAGCTGATGACATACACCGAGCTTAAGTCTGTCACACCTGAACAGGTAAAACACAGTTACTTTTTTTATTTTTTTAAAATGCTCAATACATTTTTTAAAGTGATATTTAGTTTTATATTATTAACACAATATACCGTTAAGGAAAGATGTGACATGTTCCTTGAACATAGAGATCATCAAAATAGAAAGTTATACCAAAAAATTAATGTTGTCGAAAAACTTGAAAGTCCATCTGTATGCACAAATATGTGTATTTAACACTTTGTTTTGAGATCAACAAATAAGTATACGTTCATTTTAATATACCCCCCCCCCCCCCATCCCAGATAATAATTTTCTGATTATAATGTATGAAAATTGTGCATAAGGAAGTAACACCTTTTTTTTTTAAAAAATTTTCTCCAATTTGCTAGCTTAATCAGAACAGAGAAGATTTTAACTCTGAATCAAGTAACCTAGGTAAGGATTCCAATTTATTTCATTTTTGTTATTGTTTTGTAAATTATTCTGATTTACTGTAAATTTTGCTTTTCATGTTGATTCTGGTTTAATCAATGATTATTTATAGCTTTTAAAAATAGTATACACAAAGGTATCACCTCATTTTTTCTTAGAAATACATTTTTTGCTTATGTATATTCAGATAAATGAACCTTTATTAACATTTCCCTCCAAATATTAAAAAATAAATGTTTATTAGTAGTAGTTTAATCTATTTATTAAATAACCTTTGTTATTCTTTAATTTATCTAAACATCATTTGATTAAAAACTAATTGATTTATTTTTTCTACTAATTACCACATTTTAATAATTTTGTTAGTACTATAATCGAAAGAAACTAGGTTTTATTCTTGAGTTGATACTATTTTCCATTTAAAATCCTATTGTATGTGTTATAAATTAATAAAATTCCTATGACACTATTCAGTTACCAATCAAAACAGTTGATTTCATTTTTTCTATTTTTCTCCAACTGTGCAAAATATCAGTTCTAAAATTTTTAATACTTTTTTCATAATCCTGACTGTGAAGTATTATTAAATATAGTAATAGCAGCCTTATTGAAAATCATTTAAAGCTAAATAAAATTTCAAACTACATCTTTCTTTTGATGTGAATTAAGTTTCAAATATTGGCATCCTATAATAATTGATTTTAAAATCTCACATATTGGGATGTAAAGGATTTGATTTTAGTCTGCACCAAAATATCAAGACTATTATTGTGTTAAAATGGCTAGGCTTTTTTTTTATTGTTTGATTTTAAACATTTTTAACTTTTTATCTAGATACCCTTAAATATGTTTTTGATCTGTATTTTGTTTCTATAGATGTGAGTTCAATGAATTCTTCTGAGAACAAAAGACCGATTAAAATTGATTGCTGTTATTATTGCAAGAAGTCATTTAAATCCCAAGTCTCAAAGCACTACCTACAAGTGCATCGAAAAGAAAGTGAAGTTCAACAAATTATGCAGCTTCCAATGGGCACATTGGAGAGAAAAAAAGCATTGAGAATTTTATTAAATAAAGGGAATTTTTATCACAACACTGAGGTAATTTTTTAAAACCCGTATCTAATAGAGAAAATATTAGTTCTCAACGCTGTCTAATGCTTTGTTTCATGAATGTGATGGAATGCCACTTGATTCTTTTTTCTTTTCAACATTCTTTCACTCATAGGTTTTAAAGTTAGGAGCAGGAAAACTGATTACAGTCAAACAAAACCCAGGATCAACATCTGAAGAGTACGTGCCCTGCACAAAATGTTTTGCTTTTATAAAGAAAAAACAAATATCCCAACACCAAAGGCATTGCCCTGCCACAAAAGGAGTAGAAGAAAGAAATGCCTTGAGGCTTGGGAAGACCATGCTCTCTTCCTTAATACCAGTGACTGATGAGGATAATCCTGAAGTCCTAGAAATATTTGAGAAAATGAAAGAAACAGATAAATACCCAGAGATTAAGTCTGTATGCAAGAATGACCCTCTTATTTTTGAATACTGCAAATCTCTTGTAGGAAGATTAACTGAATCACATGAACAACGTCAAAAAGAAAAAGACAATATTCGATCAAAGTTAAGACATTTAGCCAGGTTATTGTTATTGTTAAATAATGATGAAATCGACAGAAAAGATTTATCTTTTTATATAGCTGCAGCTAATTTTGACAAGGTTGTAAAAAAGGTTAAATCAATGTCAGATGAGGCTGCCTCTCCAACACTAGCTGTATTGATGAGGAACCACCTTAAACATATTTGTATTTTAAAGAAATGTATTGGCATTAGATTAAAGGATGAAACTTTACAAAAAGAGGCTGAAGAATTTGAAAGTTTATGCTGGGAGGTCTCAATTGATGGTGACTCAACTATTGACAAAAGTCAATCAAAGCTGATTATATACCCCAAGCTTAAGTCTGTCAGACCTGAACAGGTAAAACACATTGACTTACTTTTTTTGTTTTCATAATGATTATTTTGTTTTTAAGGTGATATTTAGTTTGAAATTAATTTATATACAGTTAAGAAAAGTAATCTTATTACATGTATCTTGAACATAGAGATAATAAAAATAGAAAGTTCCCCTAAAGTCCACCTGTTCACACAAATATGTATATTTAGCATTTTTTTTTTAAATTAACTAAGAAGTATGCATACATTAGAATATAAATCCTCTCCCTATTTCATGTCAAACTGATGTTTCTGATTATAATAGATGAAAATTTTTTGTCCAGAAGTTACACTCTTTGTTTGATTCTTCAACTATTAGGGTGAAGAAAGCAAAGAGGATTTCAACTTTAAATCAAGCAACCCAGGTAAGAATTTCTCCATTTAAACTTTGAATCAAGAAACACAGGTAAGAATTTCTCCAATTTTGTTTCATTTTTGCTATTGTTTTCTCAAATTTTTCTTGTTTACAGTAACTTTGCTTTTAAAAAAGATTGTGATTTACTCAATGACTAGTTATAGCTTTTTCAAATAGTATAATGATAGGTATCACCCCAATTTTTCTTAGAAATACATGTTTTTTGCTTGTGTATATTCAACTAGATCAACCTTTATTGACATTTTCCTCCAATTATTTTTTAAAAAAATGACTCCGGTTGTAGGTAAATGTATTTATTAAAAAAACCATGGTTATGCTTTAATTCATCTAAACAAAATTGCTTAATAGTAATTGATTAATTTTTTTTTACCATTACCACATTTTAATAATTTTATTATTACTATAATCAGAAGAAGCTAGGTTTTATTTTTGAGTTGATATTATTTTCTATTTAAAATCCTGTAGTTTTTGAGTAGTTAATAAACTTTCTATGACATTATACTGTTATTACCAATCAACATAAGTGTTTTCATTTGTATTTTTTTTCTTAAAATTCTTTTGTTGACACCTTAGCCTTGTTATTTTCAAAAGTTTTGATACAACTTTGATAAAATTTGGTGTATGTGTCTGTAAAGAAAAATTTATTGAAATATGCCACTGATACCATTTTTAAAAAAACTTTTCTAAAGGATAAAATTCCTATAAACTTTATTTATGATCAGAATCAGATGAAAGTTGTTATAATCATACACCAGTATGTCACTAGTAACTGTAAAATATGATATCTAAAATGCAAACTCCTATAAAATAATCAAATTCAGAAAATGTTTTTAATTATAATATTTTTTAACAGCTACCTTATTTATGGTCATGTCAAAGTCAACATAACTTAAACTATTTTTAAAACTTAATTTGATATGTAGGCCTATAGTATTGGTGTGAAATATTACCCTCCTATGTTCATCAATTTAGAAATTTCACATTTTGGGGTATATTACCTCACCCTTGCCAAAGTTGGCTTATTCTTGATTGGTTTTAAACCTTTTCCAACTTTCCCTCTAGATACCCTTAAATACGTTATTAATCTGAATTTTGTTTTTATAGATATGAGTTCAACGAAGTCTACTGGGAAGAAAAGGCGCATTAAAATAGATTGCTGTTATTATTGCAAGAAGCCATTTAGATCCCAAGTCTCAAAGCACTATCTACAAGTGCATCGAAGAGAAAGTGAAGTTCAACGAATTTTGCAGCTTCCAATTGGCTCAGTAGAGAGAAAACAAGCTTTAAGAGTTCTTCTAAATAAAGGGAATTTTTATCACAACGCTGAGGTAACTTTTTTAAACAAATATCTGATAAATACTTTTTAACCAGCTGTAAAACCTGTTGGATCACAGGCAAAAAATTGGGTTTAATCTTATGTTTTGTAAGTATCCCCTGTTGTCTAGGTCAATTCCTAAGGGTAAAGTTTCATGGAAACAACATAGAATAAAATATGAACAAATATTTCATCTAAATTAACTGCTATTGATTTGATTGTACCATTGAAACCCCATTGATTTATCTTAGTTAATTAGCAGTTTATTTATGTCGAGTTTCAATCAGATGGAAACCTAGCTGAGTCAATTATTATATAAGCTGCCAAGTCCACCCCTACCGTATTCCACCCTTTGTCCACACACAAACTACCACCTCAACGCACTCAGTGTTTCTTTCAGACGTTTTCTCCAGGGGATGGAGGGGGGAATTGAAACATTTTGTGGAGGGGGGGGGGGGGGGGCACGGTTGGACTTAAATTTCCAGGGGCAGAGAATGGAAACTGGTTAAAGTATTTATTTTGTATTTAAAATTTTATTTTGTTCTCAAGAGATGTCAGAAATAAACTCTGATACGACTTACCTACGCTAAGTTTAATAACACATTGAAAAAATATTTATATTTTTTAGTATTTCACTGTTTTACATTCTGTTGTTGAAGTAGTAGGCCTATTAGTCAAACAGTATCACCCATTTTAACATTATATTGCATTTTAATATACAGGTGTAAGTATAAGACACTTTAACTTGTAACCTTTAACCACTAACATGTTGTACTAATTATTTATAATACTATGCAGCTAAACCATTTTAACTAAACATGACTTTTTCTACCATCATTCATGGATTAAATATTAATAATCATAAAAATTGTTTTCTTAATATTGTCATTCCATGTTGTTTCCAATAAACTTTGTTGTGTTTTTTAAGGATACATTTTTTTTTAAAAGATAAACAAATAAGAGAACAACAACTTGGTAACTCATCTTTGGGTTATTTCCCTTCAAGCAATGTAATTTAATTTGTTATATATTAAATATCAGCATATATACAATAAATGTGCCATTTTAAAAACATCAGCTAATAACATAATGACCTACCTATTTCAAAATGTAAAAACAAAGTTTAAAATTGAAATTTTATAATTAAAAAAAAAATATTTGTTTCATTGAAACATTATCGTTGTAACCTAAAAACTATTTTCAATAAGTTAGAGTTCTGCACAGATGAAGACATGATTTTGCTTCTATTTCTATTCATGAATGTGTGTTTTTAAAACTGATTTTTTTTCACTGTTATAGGTTTTAAGGCATGGAAAAGGGGATCTTATTTTAGTAAAAAGTAGCAAAGAATCCACTGATAAAAAATACTTGCCCTGCACAAAATGTTTTGCTTTTGTAAAGGAAAGACAAATTTCCCAACACCAAAAGTGTTGCCCTGCCACAAAAGGAGTTGAAGAAAGAAATTCCTTGAGGCTTGGAAAGACCATGCTATCTTCTTTAATGCCAACGACTGATGAAAATAATCCTGAAGTCATTGAAATATTTGACAACATGAAAGAAAATAGTAAATACCCTGGCGTTAGGTCTGTTTGCAAAAATGATCCACTTATTTTTGAATATTGCAAATCCCTAGTAGGAAGGTTAACTGAATCACAAGAACAACGCCAAAAAGATAAAGACAATATCCGATCAAAATTAAGACAATTAGCAAGGTTATTGTTATTGTTAAATGATGATGAAGTTGACAGAAAAGATTTATCGTTTTATATAGCTGCAGCTAATTATGACAAGGTAGTAAAAAAGGTTAAATTAATGTCAGATGAGGCTGGATCTCCGTCACTAGCTGTATTGATGAGGAACCACCTTAAACATATCTGTATTCTAAAGAAATGTATTGGCATTAGATTAAAGGATGAAACTTTACAAAAAGAGGCTGAAGAATTTGAAAGTTTATTCAAGACTCAATGTAACCCCAGGGTTGGATCTTGCAACTCTCGTGAATCAGAGCGGAACTTATACTACAAGCCAAGAGTTATCCCTTCAACTCAAGATCTTACTTCACTCACAGACTTTTTAGTCGGCAGGATACAAGAGTTGATCAAACAAGACCTGGAGTTTGAGAACTGGACAAAGCTCGCTAAGATTGTGCTCCTGAGGACAATTTTGTTTAACAAACAGCAGATAGCTGAGGTGGAGGCCATTAAAATAGGAGATTATGAAAAGAGAATTGAGCATGGCGTGGAAATCAATGAGGAAATCATGGAATCTCTGCCTGTGACAGAACAACTGCTGGCTCACAGGTAGGCACATTTTAAATCTTCACACTCACATTATAGTAGGACTCAGTAGGAGTAGATTTAATATTTTCTTGACCTCGGCTTATGAAGGAAAGATGTGGTTAGCACTTTGCCCAGCCACCTGAACTTTACTTCATCTGCCAAATAGATCTCTAGGTTTAAAGAGGATTCTTTACTTTTTTTTATGTATGTGCAGTAGCTTATGTTTGACAAAGTCCAGCTGTAGGGTAGTAGAGTGAGTGAAAACACTTTACAAGCCTATCATTTGACTTACTACAACCACCCCTTTATTGCTAAGTATTACAGAACACCGTGGATAAAATCTACTGGCTTAATTGTCTTGTACAATATAGAGTATTCTAAACCTCTCTAACTTGCTAGACTGTTATACAGATTGTTGATGTTTGTTTTTTTGAATGTCTAATACAGCTTTTACACTTGTGACATGTCTAGGAAAGAAAAAGCTTGCAGATAGTTATTGTTAATGAAAACATTTTCCCCACAGAACATGCATACTTAATTTTTTGTGCTGTAACTCTTTTTCTTCCTGGACATGTACAGTATACATGTTGCATGTGTAAATGCATGTAACATTGTATTTGGTTAAAATTTACATATGAAATGTCAATTATCTTTGTTTATAAATATTTACAAAACAAAAAATGAACTAGTTAAATAAATGAACTTTACAGAATGGATTTGATAAAAGTGAGAGGGAAAGCCAAATGTTTTATCCTGCTGACTGCTGACATGCAGGCTGGCATCCAACATTTGCTGCTACACAGAGCTAGGGCTGGCATCAAGGAACAAAACCTGTACATGTTCGCAAGGAGATCTTTGCGGCCTCTAGGAGGTTGTCAGGTGCTGCGTGATGTCCCAAAACAGTGCCAGGCTGTCAGGAGACCAGACCTGATGGCATCCAGTCAGCTACGCAAGTATCTGGCCACAATAAACCAAGTGAGTTACAATACTTCTTTTTTTTCTTCTTTGTTTTTAAATTTAGTGTTGGAAGGGATTTCTTTTAACAGAATAAAATATACATGTCAACTAGCAACTAGTAATGCGTTTTATTGGGGCTGTTGACTCTCCAATAAGAGTTACTACCCAGATCTTAAACACGAGAGTTTTCGGTTTAGCAATCATGAGCTTAACCGACTCGACCACGCTAACACAGATCTTACTCTGACAGTTGACCTAATTGTTTGACCCTGACAGTTGACCTAATTGTTTGACTCAGACATTTGACCTAATTGTATGACTGTGACACTTGACCTAAATGTTTTACTCTGACACTTGACCTAATTGTTTGACTTGACACTTGACCTAATTCTTTGACTCTGACAGTTGACCTAATTGTATGACTGTGACACTTGACCTAATTGTTTGACTCTGACTGTTAACCTAATGGTTTTACTTTGACGGTTAACCTAATCATTTGACTCTGGCAGTTGACCTAATTGTTTCAGTACCAGCACATATATACACATATATTACAGAAGCTGATATCTTTTTCAGATACTTGACATGAACACAGAAGAACTAACAAAGTTAGGAGATCATGTTAGAGATACTTTGAACATTCAAATAGACATCCAGAGCCTGCTTTCATCTACAGGGCTAAAAAATAAGCTAGCACATGTTTTGGTTGCGAGAGAAAATGGGCATGTACTAGAATACTCAGGGAAGGACCTTAAATCTATAAGCCTCACAGGTAAGGAAAACCTTTATGACAAACTCGTGTTTTATGTTTGTGTAATGTTTGTTGACACAAAGCAACGAGTAGTTCTGGACTTCTACACAGACATGCCGGTGCCTCTAGATGCAGATAAAACAGGTTCCAATGGACTTCCTGGTGCAGATAGCCAATCATGTCAGCCAGAGGGGAATAACAAGGGGGCGCAACTATTGGAGAATTTAGAACCAGGCCAACCTCTGAAAACTGGTATGTTATATTTTCTTATTTTCTTTTTCCTGTTTGTGCCCAAGACACATGGCAGAAGTAGAGTTTGTCTGCTTCAGAGAGCTCGGCATATGTGGGGATAGTGTGGTCATCACTATACCGCCTTTTGATACCTAACGTGACATAGATACCCATCATGTTTCTACCAGCCTTTTTTCTCTGGGGGGGGGGGGGGGGGATGGTGTGGTGGACACTGTTAAAAGTATATATTTTCTGCATAAATTCTATTTTGTTTGGGAGTGTGGTAGACGCCTGGAAGAAAACTGATCAGTGCTGGATGGACTTAAGGACATTCTCCTTGGATTCAAACTCGAGGCTTCTGGGTTAGCAGTCTAGCTCTTTACTGCTAGGCCATATGTCATTTAATGCTAAATATCTAATCCAAAATAGAGAAAATAGTAAAAACTATTTGTAACGTAGATCTATTTGTGTCAATTTGTTAAAGTAATCCTAATGAAAATGTCAAATTAAAATTAACAAAGTAAATTGTTCACGGACTTAAATATTATAATTATATCTCACCTGTACCTTGAGCCAGAATAGTGAGATTAGTGCTTGTTATTTGCAGGCTCCCATGGAAAAAAAAGATGGACCAAAGAAGAAGAGGACACCTTACAGATTGCGTTTGAGTCGTGTTTTAGAGAAAAAAGAAATGTTTCAGTGAGAGAGATTGAAAAAGCCAAGTCAGCCCACCCTATTTTAAACAACAGATCTGATGCTGTCATTAGAAGTAAGATCAATAATATTTTACTCGGGAAGGTGAGGATCTCAGTAAATTAACTATTGTTAAAACACAAGTTTGATGCTGCTGGCCGGGTTTAGCTTGTATACTCTTTAATTACATGTCCATGTGTTATATATCAAAAGTTTTAATATATGTATATAGTGAGCAACATCCTCGTCAATGCAACTATTTATAACTGGACCACAGCTCATGTCCCTACCTTACTTTAATATAGCATTCAATGCAACAGGCAAATGTTATATATTATGTTTCTCAAAATGTAACAGGCCAACGTTATATATAATACTCCTCAAAATGTAACAGGCAAACATGGTTGTATAGTTTCAAAAAACCAATTCTATAATGCTTCTCAAAATACCACTGCCTATACATTTATTTGTTAACTCTCTACAAATCTCGCCCCCGTACCTGCCCACAAACCCAAGTTTCCTGTCACATACAACAACACAGTACACTCCCCTTCCTCTCCTGCCCCATACCCACCTCCTAATACTGATCCAAATATGCCCCAGATCCAGGTATCCTCTAGTTACTTTGTGCCCTTATGTATTGCGTGCCCCTTTAATTATTTATTTATTGTGCTACCTTTATTTACTTTAATTATTTATTTATTGTGTACACCCTGATCCAAGTGTACCATAAATCCAAGTGTACCCCTGCTGTCCCCTACATCTGCCGTACACATAGATACCCTGTCACAGTTAACATAACGTTACGATCTCAACTTTGTTCTTCCTACCTATGTTGGTTTTAATATACTTTGGTAAAATGGTTGTAATCTTTCATATCCCAATTTTTTGTAGTAAATAAATGTTTTTATCTCAGGAGAATGCTGTATTTTGTGTACATAAACAGTGTTTTTATCACAGGAGAATCAATGTTCTATTTTGTGTATGTAACTGATGCATTTATCACAGGGGAATCAATGTTCATTTTGTAGATTCCAACATTCCTTTAATATTAGAATGGTCAAATTATAATAGTTTTTTTAATGTACTTTTTTAAGTTGCATATATTTTCTCTATACTGCCATTTTGAAAATGTATTTCTAGACGTTTTACTTTATGTTTATATAGATACCTGACTGTTTACTCATAGAAATGATTTACTCTTAATTGTAGTTATCTTTTTCATTGTAATGAAGTAACTGATGAAATATCCTTGTGGTTTTGCTTAGTTTCTGTAAACAAGCCCTTAAGTCTGCAGATATTCAGTTAGAAATTAGCATATATATATTGGTTGTTTTTTTTTGTGTGTACCTAAAACATGTTGTCCTTAGACTACTGGTGGTATAAGCCACTTGGGCCTGTTTATCCATCTGCCTGCTTTAGCAACCCTTAGGTTTGCAGTCAATGCTTATATAATTTTGATTTTTCTATTAATAACTTCATACTCAAAAAATGGACTAGCTAAGGATTAAATAAAGACTTCAATTTTTAAAAATCAATATTTTACCAGGACAAAGTAAGGAAAGTTTTTTTTTTTTACCTGATGATTAGAAGAATTGTTTTAACTTGTGTAACACTTGATGAGTTCAATCCATGTTGTCTCACTCTAGGTATTTTTACATTTTTATGTTTGTGTGTGGATGTTACTGTAACAAAATGGAATATATTTATCTGATTGAAATAAAGTAATTTATATGTTTTCTTAGATGTTTTTTTTTCTTTTATCACTTATATTGCAATTAACTATACAGGTTACATCTTTATATTTTATTGTGGTTTCTCTAATTAATTAAAATCAACTAACAAATGTTACATTTATCATTTATATACTTTTAAGGTGGGTTTTTAATCAATTAAAGTTTACAAGCAAATGTTATGTTTACATAATTTCTATTGGTGGTTTTTGCTTTTATTATTATTTTTTTCCATTTGACTAAAGTTTCCATGTAAAACTGTTGAGTTTTGATTGTGAAATGTAGTTGCCTTATTTTATAAGCAGACTCTTATGCCATAATACTAGAATTAGCTGAATAGTGGGGGAATGGGAAACCATGCAACTAATACTCTTTATGAAGTAAATAAATCGTTAACATTATTTGAAGGCCGTGGCACACTTCACTTGAATAAAATTAATACGTGGGATCTATTTGTGCTCATCACGCAATCCAACTGCTCTACAGTTTGTAAACCGAGTTCATGTAGCGCCTGAGTTGACATCTCACCCATCACAGGGGACGATGTGAAGGCGCTGAGAGAACTATCAGGAGGACGTGTAGACGGGTGTTGGCTGATTTTTTTCTGGTCTCTCCTTTCCACGACGAAAAAGAAAAATTAATGGAAAATTGAAATGGAAAATATGCACTTTAACCATTGATATAACCCCCCCCCCCCCTTCCCCCTCGAGCAAAATACCTGAAAGAAACTCTGCCATTGCATAAACATTTGAGTACTGTCTGGGCTAATAGTAAAACGTCATTTTTAAGTGCTCACATTTATACACGATTCACATTACATTAAATTATGTTTAATAATTCTTTTTATGCAACTATCCTATTAAGTAATAATAATATACATCCAAAGGGAGAAAACATCTTTGACAAGATTCGACTAGATTGTATTTAAGTTTATTTATTGTTCCAACAATGTCCATCTAAGACTTTTGATTGGCTGACTGGTTGACCGTTGTCTCTATAGCGGTCACTGCCGTCCACAGTATGTTGAGGGCCTGTTTGGTTAGAGCTATGTCTTGAGCTGTGGGAAATGTGGAGTTAGGGCTAGGGGTCACTTCAACATCGGCATTCTGTCATAGAAGAAAAGAAGGATTTTATGGTTTTAACTTATTTATTTGATGTATTTATTGATTGTGTATGTTGAAGCAGGGGCGTAGCGAGGGGGGGGGGGCGGGGGTGCGGACCGCACCGGGTGACACCATTTAGGGGGGTGACACCAAGGCAAAAAATAGGAAAATATATAGAGAAAAACTTGAGAGGGGGGGGTGCAAATCGAAAGTTTGAGGGGGGTGGTGCACATCAAAAACTTGGGGGGGGGGGGGTGCAAATCGAAAACATGAAAGTTTGTCCCCGGGAAGGGTCGCAACGCCTCTGGGGGGTGACACCATTAAGTGCCGCACCGGGTGACACCCGACCTCGCTACGCCACTGTGTTGAAGCAACATACTGAATGCAGTGTAGTTATTTATAATTGTTTTTGTGCCTTAGTTTAACTAGCAGGATCTCGTCACCACTCAAATAAATAAAATATATTTTATATTTTGTCATCATAATATTAACCCATGTCCATAACAATATAACATTGTTTCATATTGCCTGCACTATCTTTAGTTCATAATTTTTAATTGGCCTTTTATTTCCCTAGAGTTTAATAAAATGCAATACCAGCTGTTGACTCAAATATTGACTAGCACTGAAGTTAATTACCATTCACTAATCAAGTAACAGGTTACAGTTGTACTTACCGTACCATCCCGACCAAAACGTCCCACAGGGGCCATCACTCGAACAGCCGTAAAGCCTGGTCGGACGCGCACCAATGTCGGCAGTCTCCATGTTGGGCCAATGGGCCTTAATTTTGGTAGAATGGGCCTCAATTTTGGTCGAATAGGCCTCAATTTTGGTCGAATGGGCCTCAATTTTGGTCGAATGGGCCTCAATTTTGGTCGAATGGGCCTCAATTTTGGTCGAATACGTCTCCATTTTAGACGAATGCGTCTCCATTTCGGCCGGATCGAACTAACCCCCTCTGCATCAGATGCCTCCACGCCGTAAAGTTCTAGGAAAAACTTGAGAAGGGAGGTTTATAATGTGTATCAGTGTATTAGACGTGTGGATAATTAAGCGAACGAAGTTTGAACCTTACAGATTTTATATACTTTACTTTCGCAGTTGGAAGTAGACTTACTGGTTATCCTTCAACATTTTTTTTAAAGAATCAGTTCTGCTTGAAATTTTAAAAGTTACTTATATTAGTATTGAATCAATATCTAATCAACTGGACAAACTCTTTTAACTTTATCACAAAGGGCCAACTTTTCTAACGACCATGGCCTGATATCAAAGAACTAGTTAGCTACTAGCAACTAGGTGGACAAAATGTTTACCTTGTTGACTTGGTCCAGAGCTGCTGTAATGTTGCCATTCACAACTCCTTCCAGCTTAGTCAAGCTCTCGGTAGTTTTGTTGGTGCCTTGCTCAGTACCTTGCTCAGTACCTTGGTCAGTACCTTGGTCAGTACCTTGGTCAGTACCTTGGTCAGTACCTTGGTCAGTACCTTGGTCAGTACCTTGGTCAGTACCTTGGTCAGTACCTTGGTCAGTACCTTGGTCAGTACCTTGGTCAGTACCTTGGTCAGTACCTTGGTCAGTACCTTGGTCAGTACCTTGGTCAGTACCTTGGTCAGTACCTTGGTCAGTACCTTGGTCAGTACCTTGGTCAGTACCTTGGTCAGTATCTTGTCCACCTCCCGGGGTGGTAGTGACCCCCACATTCCCGTCTGTATCTGAAGCCACGGCTGACATCGCGCAACTCACTAGGAGGGCCACCATAACAGCCAGAGGAAATCCCATTCTTGTGTTGGTGTCTAGAGGTGTGAAATAAAATGGGTGATATTTTAGGTATTTCTCAACCTTTATGAATAACATAATAATAAATACTTACACGTAAACTAATCGTTTAAAAACTTGGAGATGTTAAAAAACGTACGATATTTTTACGTAGGCTACATTGGTAAAATTCGTTGTAAAATATTTTAATAGTTATTAGTTATAACTTAATAAAAGGACGCTTTATAAAAACATTCCAATAAAATATGAATCAAACTGCATGAAAGTATACATAATACATGTAAAAACATGTGTGCCAATTTATTTTAAAACTAATTTTGGAAACACCATTTAAAATTGTTATTCTAAATTTTAAATAATGATGCCAAGAACAGACTAACGCTCTAAACCAAGTTTGAATTAGTTTCGTACCTGACCAAATCTGTTCTGATCTCTGTTTTTTATGTTCAACATCCTGATCTATTTTATAGACTAGAGGTCAATTAAATTCAGTGTTCATTACGTTGTGTTGTTTGTTTAATTGATCAGTTAATAAACTTTACTGCCACGTAGATCGTTATCTTTGTAATCAGTTGACCTTATGGCCATCTAAGTCCCTAAAATGTAATGAGTTGTAAGTCCTTGGGAGCTAACCAGTTGTAGGTACTGAAGTTACTGGAACCTAATTTTTTGTCTTACTCTTCTTCGTTCTCAGTGGCAATGAAGGAGATATTTCCAATGCTATTAAGTACAACGTTTAAACGTGCTGTGCGCTGACTTTGACAATCTTCAAGGCAGCAGTTGGTTGATTTTTAGAATTTTGGGGTTATCCATAAATGACGTCACGCATTTGTTGACGATTTTTAACTCCCCCCCCTCCCCTCCGTCACACGTCGTCACAAAAAGCCAGACCCCCTCCACTAAAATGACATCACACCTCAGCCTACAACCCCCCCCCCCCCCCCTGACCCCTTTCTCTAACAGCTGGGTTGTTGTCCCCAGCAGTTTCGGCTGCCCGGGATTCGAACTTGGGATTTTTGGAGTTAGCAACCAAACAATGTCCTATTTTAAGAAGTATTCTCTACCTGTCGGAATTAGGTGATGTTAATGATACAATTACAATCACTATCTTACCAGAATATAAACTCTACAACAGTATCGCAGTAAAAAGCATAAAAACTGAAAACCTAACACTAATCATAATTTAATTAATCTACGCAATCAAACCAAAATGTAGGTATCTCTTTTATTAGCTCCACACCAGTAGTTTTTTTTTATGTGGTTGCTCAGTTGACGGTATAATTCAAGCGTTGAGTCATGAAGAAATTGTTATTAAAATACATTTTAAAAAAACGTTAACTCAGGATTTTATTATTGAAACATTGCCATGCCATAGCAATTCATGATCTATGTGTACATTTTATTCCGAATATTCAGGTTTTTTTAAAACTTGTTTGATTGTGTTGGGGGGGGGGGGGGGTGGGGGTCATAAATATCCCGACTCATGTTGTTAACTCTCCATAACAAACACGTGTATGAGTTGCTGGTCCTTTAGTCGGGGGCCGTTAAGTCGAAGGCCACATTGACGTGGCATTAGATAAAATGGCGTTAAAAAGTAATTTAACATATAACACCGGGCTGGGAGATAACGTTACTTTATTGTTCAGTAGGCCACGCCCACATGAACCAGATGACGTATCTCCTGATGACCTCACCAACATGACTTCACACCCAGCAGATTGTTTCTACTGCACAATCAGTCAAGGTCATTTCAATAAAACAACTGATACAAATCAAAGTGGACGCAGTAGTAGACCAAGTGACCACTAGCATGACCTCTGGTTTTATTGACGTATTGGAGTCCCAAGGACAAGAACGTGACAACCCTGTTGTCAAACTGAGCACTGAAACAACCCTCACGTGACGGGTTGGATCAGAACCCTGTTGTCAACAATTTTATGGCAAGGGGCCGTACTTACAGGATGTCACTGTGCTGATTTTATACCACCCACCCCTTCCAATCATCATACATCATCACAGAAAGTCAAATCCCCACTAAAATGATTCATCACTTGCGTATCCCACATATTTGCCATTTGGTAGTTGCAAAATCTGCACTTCAGATAAAGGGATATAACTTCGCTAAACTGATTTTGTCGATAATATTAATTGAATTATTTCCCTTACCATGGAAAAATAAAATAACTATTTTTTTTTGTTTATGGTAAAACTGAACATCTGCAATTTTGCAAATCTAAATCCATATTAGATTCATTGATAAATCTTCATTGATCAAAATGACTTGAAAAATAATTTAAATAGAGCTTAAATTTAGATTAAAAATACATTTTAATATGAGTAAATGTGACGGCATACATTATTGTTCGAACCCTCACCCCTACCCACTCCTTCAAACGTCACAAAAGGAAAAAATAAATGTATGTACTTGTAGACCTGTATGTACAGGAAACAATGGGAACTAACTGAAGAACATCTAGACAGTAGGTGGGTGCCAATCAGCGTTTCTTTCGGCGCCCCCCCCCCCTCCTTCCAAGACATAAAGAAATAGAAAATTTACATAGAAAATATAAACCTCAGTTGTTGTTTTTTTTTAATGCAGACATTTATACACGATAAGCATAACATGAAATTATGTTTAATATTTCTTTTCATTCACTTATTCCGTTAAGGAATAAACATCCATACATAAAAAGAATCTTCAACAAAACTTGAATAGATTTTATTTAATAGTTTATTTGTTCCATCATAGTATCCATCTAAGACTTTTGATTGGCTGACTGGTTGACCGTTGTCTCCATAGCCGTCACTGCCGTCCACAGTATGTTGAGGGCCTGTTTGGTTAGAGCGATGTCTTGAGCTGTTGGAAATGTGGAGTCAGGGCTAGGGGTCACTTCAGCATCGGCATTCTGTCATACAAGAAAGGATTAATTTTACCTAATTGCTCAGATTTTTTAAAAAATGTATAATGTAGAAAAAATTGGTATACATTGTACTAATTAATAAAAATTTTTTGTAAAATAAAACGTAGTTCCCTTTCAAACCTGACGTCTATCGGGAAAGTGAAGTAGAGTTCACCTGTTTCTGTGACTGCGACATATCAAGAGAAAGTGTGGTCAGCGCTATGCCAATACATTGATTTTGTTGTACCTTACTTTGATTAACTGTAATGTAAACCTCCCCACCCCCTCCACACCCAACATTGTCACAAATTGATGATTGACGAGAATGTCATTTTAAGAAATATATTTTTGTTACAGTTAAAAAATTGTCCAAAAAAAATACAACTTTCTTATTTTGTTTACACGATTGCAATTGAAACTACAAATTTTGACAATTAAATTTCAAAATCACACTATTAATTAATCTAAAAATCCCAACTGAAATTGTTAGATTAAAACATTACGAATTAATTAGCTGACGCAGTACAGTTAGACTGACCGTGACGTCACGTCCTAAAATAGTCGCCACGCCCACAGCTGTAACGACTGGCCGAATCCGTCGCCAAGCCTTCTTTAACCAGTTCCGTTTCTGTTTATCACCCGTCTCCTCGCGGTTAGGTTGAAGGAAAAACTAAAGATGATTATAATTATTCTAATCAGCATATAATATTTTGTATGGATTCATTAAGCGAACAACATGTTATAAGTACGCCATATATATTAAAGCACATAACTATGTTTGTTTTCATTTTATTAATTGTCGAAATAATGTACGTTTACTTAGAGCTGTGGATTGATATCAAAGAACTAGTTAGCTGCCAGCAACTAGGTGCACACAAGGTTTACCTTATTGACTTGGTCCAGAGCTGCACTAATCTTTCCATTCACAGCTTCTTCCAGCTTGGTCAAGATCTCGGTAGTCTTGTTGGTGCCTTGGTCAGTATCTTGGTCAGTAGCTTGTCGAACGCCCCTGACAACCCCCTCATTCCCGTCTGTATCGGAAGCCCCGCCTGGCATCGCACCACTCACCAGGAGAGCCAACATCACGGCAAGTAGAAATCTCATTTTTATCTTGATCTCTATAGGTGTGAGAGAAAACGCGATGCTTTACAGCGATATGTTAAATAATGCTCGCTGGATAAATGTGTAGCCTATTTGTAAGCTGCTCGGTAATTGTTTAAATACGTTGGTTATTAGGTTGATTAATAACAATTTATTTGAGATGTTTGAAGCACCTATGATATTTTCATGTATATTTTTAAAAATCGTTTTGAAATCTTCGGAAGGCAGTTAACGTAACTTTTAAAAATAAACATTTCACGAACAGATAGTTATAAAAATTAAATAGAATGTAAACATTTAACACGTCTATACGAACTGATTTAAAAATTAAATAATGTAGACACCATTTTTTTAAATCGGAAAAAAAAGTATTCTACATTTCGAATAAATGATATAATGAACGAAAAAATTCATGAAACCAGGTTCTCGTTGGTATCTTACATGAATGTATCAGTTCTGATCGCTGTTCCTTGGGTCTCAGTTCTGATCTATTTTATACACTGTAGACCAATTAAATTCTGTGTTTATAACGTTGTTTTTTGTTTGTTGGGTCAGCTCGTAAACTTTACTGACACGTAGATCGCTTATCTTTGTACTTTGTGCAGCTTATTAATTACAATGTAGGTCTCTAAAACACAATGAGTTGTAGGTCTTTTGGACCTAACCAGTTGTACGTTATACATGTTAGTGGGACCTAATCAGTTGTAGGTTACCAATGTCGCTGAGAACTAATGTTTGCGTCTACGTTCTTAATGGTGGGATATTTCAAGCACATTTAAGTATTACGTGTCAACATGTTATGTGCCATGGGTCGGAGACATTACCACCCCCCCCCCCCCTGTCAATTACCCCCAGACATCCCCACCCCGGACATTACCAGGAGTCATTACTCCGAGTTAAATACATCCCCCCCTCCATCCCGAAGAACCCTAACCCCCAACATCAATATAAAACACTCTAAACCTACATCTAACCCTAAACAAAACTACATAAATACAGACCATTTTAATGGAGACACAGATATTTGTGAGATTAAAATAACTTATGTAGCTTGCTATGGTCTCAAGGGTAATTAAAATAAAGCAATTGAATGGAATGTTTTGCATATAGCTTGGCGCTTTGGTACTAGTTATGTTGGAATTCAAGTGTAATTTATGAAGAAACTATTATAAAAATACAGACACGTTAACTAGGGATTCTCAGTTGTTATTAGCATTCTCGTGTGATAGTAATCCATTATCTTTTTAAAAATTAGATTCTGAATATTCTGTTTTGTTTTTTAAACTTGTCTATGGGTTATTGTAAAACGGTGTTCAAAAGTAATTTGGCATGTAACACTCGTAGGGGAGATCACGTGACTTCCTTGTTCATTAGGCCACGCCCACACCTGGCCCACATGACGGTGATCTCTTGATGACTTCGCCAACATGACTTCACACCCTGGAGATTTATTTCTTCTTTACACTCAAGCTCCCCACAGTAAAACCGTCAACACATACACAAACGGAAGTGGACGCAGTAGTAGACCACGTAACCACTAGCATAATGTGCTGTATTTTTATTGACGTATTGAAGTCCAAAGGACAAGAACGGGACAACCCTGTTGTCAAACTGAGCACTGAAACAACCCTAGTGTGACGGGTTGGATCAGCTTACAGCCCCCTGAGTATCCTAACACGCTATTCTTCCATGGGATTTCACATTTTCGCGAATAAATAAGTAAATAATGATAGAGTTTTTAAGTCAGGATTTTAAGGAGATGCATTAGAAGTCGTGGTTTTAATGAGTTGTACAAATGTAACACATAACCAACATAGCTACACGTCTTAGTGTAACCAATACAAGTGCGAACAACATTTGTACACATGAATACAAACACATACTATTTCAATAATTGTTTCATTAAACTTACTAAAATTATTGTGTTACAGTAAAAATATCACACACAAATAAATAAAGCAAAACCGTCAGGGTGTTCGATTTATTTTACATTTCTGGAACACTGCACACGTTAAATGAAAACAGGTTGCTCACTAACATGACTAATATCTGCTATCCTTCCTATATTTAGGTTCTCACAAGATTTTAATATTGTGTGACAGTAGCACAAGACAAAATGTGACTTTGATTTAGCCAATCTTCAACTCATAGAGCTGCCCCTAGCTCACCGCTTGTAAAACATAGCCTTGAAATCTAACGGCTTTAGGGTCAGCCCGTATTTGCTATCGATAATAGGTTCCTGTCCATCGGCCTTGTCCATCCGGCACATCTGGACCAGCCGGGTGAAGAAGATGAATATTTCCATCCGGGCAAGTTGTTCACCCGGACATTTCCGGCGTCCGGCTCCGTACGGCAGGAAGTGGTCCATGGCCAGCCGGTCGAGTTTGCCGGTTGAGTCCAAGAAACGGAACGGGTTGAAGAGATCCGGGTCTTTGAAGTAGTCCGGGTCACGGGTCACTGACCAGAGGTTGATGAAGGTCAAGGTCTGACGGGGTATTCTAGAAATGGGGGGAGAGAGAGGGTTGGCTGAGTAATTGGGGAACAAACCTTCATGTTTGTAGACTATATGCCTACACAATCAATCGCCTTAAACACTTTCATCAACCTTGATCATTTCACCCAAAAAGTGCGGCGTGTATTTAACTCATCAAAATCATAACAGCAGATCAACTATGACATTCTTTTGATGTTTATCTACCTATAGAAACCTCACTATTTGCCTAGGTCAAGCAAACAGGTGAACTCTACTTGCCCTATGTACTGTCCTCTAATATTGACCCTATAACACATTGATGGCCCATCCCATACCCGCCCCACCTCATCTCTCTCACCCTCAACTCTAGCCAGCCTCTCATACACGTGCCGTCCTGAATAACCTGTCAGCCCCACCCCTCACCTGTCAGCCCCACCCCTCACCTGTCTGTCTGTCAGGCGCCCTTACACGTGTCTCCCCTATTCCCCTCACCACACGGCTATACCTGCCAGCTTCACACTTCTCAGTGTCCAGTCCCCCTCCTCACCTGTATCCGTTAAGCACCGTGTCACGTGTCTAGTCCCTCCCTCACCTGTATCCGTTAAGCCCCTTGTCACGTGTACCCCCCCCCCCTCACCTGTATCCGTTAAGCCCCTTGTCACGTGTACCCCCCCCCCCTCACCTGTATCCGTTAAGCACCGTGTCACGTGTGTCCCCCCCCCCCCTCACCTGTATCCGTTAAGCACCGTGTCTAGTCCCCCCCATCTCACCTGTATCCGTTAAGCACCGTGTCACGTGTGTCCCCCCCCTCACCTGTATCCGTTAAGCACCGTGTCTAGTTTCCCCCCCCCCTCTCGCCTGTATCCGTTAAGCACCGTGTCACGTGTGTCCCCCCCCCCCTCACCTGTATCCGTTAAGCACCGTGTCTAGTTCCCCCCCTCTCACCTGTATCCGTTAAGCACCGTGTCACGTGTCGTGCTGTGTGGGAGGGCGAATGGGAAGATGCATGAGTGCCTCATGACCTCTAGGATGGTCGCTTCAGTCAGGGGCAGATCTGCCAGGTCGTCAAGGCAGGGGCACCTTGTTCTGCCCACTTTTGTGATGATTTCATTGTAAACCTTCAACACGTTATTTAAAAAATGGCTCAAAACTTATTTATTTTTATTTCCAATAATGAAAAATATGGTAAAATAGCTAATACAACCAAGTTTTTATCTGATTCAGTTAAATAATTTTTGTTTTTACATTTTCCGCTAAGCGACTGTCCATAAAGAATTACACTCTTTATTGCTGATTTTTATTCATCCACCCCACCCCTTCCAATCATCACACGTCATCACAGAAGGTCACAACCCCACTAAAATGTTGCATCATTTGTGTATCCCACATCGTTGCTCAATTCGTAGTAGCAAAATCTGCTAACTTCGGATAAAGGGAGTAAACCTAGTTAGACTGATTTTGTCGATAATATTAATTGGATTATTTCCCTTTACCAAAGCTTACTTCAGATGAAGGGATTTAACTCTGCTAGACTGATTTTGTCTATAACATTAACTGAATTATTTCCCTTTGCATGTAAAAATAATATTACTACTTTTTATTTAATTAAAAATTTCACTTATTTTTGAAAACTAAACATTTTAGCAAATTAGTCCATAGTAGATTGAAATTAATTAATTGATCAATTTTCATTTCAAAAGCTTGAAAAATATAAACAAAAATCTAAAACTTACCTTAACTTAAGAAAATGTGACGGCATACATTGTTTAAACCCCCAACTCTACCCTCTTCAAATATTGTCAAAAAAGGAGAGTCCGACTTCTCCCTTCCCCCCCCCCCCCCCCCCACCTCCCACCCCACGTCTTTGAAAGTTTCAAGTTCCCCCCTCCCTTCCCCAGAAGGATGTAACAAAAATCAGACGAACCTGCTCCTGTATGTCCGGATGTCTGATCATGTACAGCACCGCCCACTGCAGCGTGCTGGCGATGGTATCGAACCCGGCACCTATCAGCTCCTGCACCGTCGTCAGGATGTGCTCGTCCGTCAGACCCACCGCCTCCTTCTCCTCCAGGGGCGTGTCGTACACGGCCCGGATCAGGCAGTCCGTGACGTCACGGATGACGCAGGCGTCGAAGGTGCCGATGTGCTGGTGTACCTTCTCGTTACAGAACTTGTTCATGACGTCAAGGATGCGGAGAAACCCGTTAAATGATCTGGGGGTGGGGGGGGGGGGGAGGGGGGAATATGGGATTTGTAGGTATAAATTATGGAAAGGTGTGAAAATAGGAAAGTGTTAAATTTACGAATATAAAAATTGGTATTGTCGTACCTATGATATTGCATGAAATTATATTTTTTTCCTAACTATGAGATTAAGGTAAAAAGGGATAATAAGATTGATGAAATTGGGATTAATAATAGTTAGTGCCATATATTTAGCTGGAAAAAGGGTAGTATATAAAATTAAATCTAGTGTGAGTTTTGTAAGTTAAATAAAAACTATTAGGTTGATTACATATTTTGCTTTTGCTGTTTGTAATATTCAGTTAAATAAAATAACATAAGATATTCAAATAGGTGAAAATGTGATTGAGATTGTGAGTTATTGTGTCAATAGTGTGTTTACGTCTTGTGTGTGATTGAGTTGTGTGTGATTGACGTGTGTGTGATTGTGTGATTGACCAAGCCTAGTGTGTTTACCTCTTGGTGAAGTGTCTAGTACACGGCATGATGTCCACTGTGTGTGTGATTGACGTGTGTGTGATTGACGTGTGTGTGATTGTGTGATTGACCAAGCCTAGTGTGTTTACCTCTTGGTGAAGTGTCTAGTCCACGGCATGATGTCCACTGTGTGTGTGATTGACGTGTGTGTGATTGTGTGATTGACCAAGCCTAGTTTGTTTACCTCTTGGTGAAGTGTCTAGTCCACGGCATGATGTCCACTGTGTGTGTGATTGACGTGTGTGTGTGATTGACGTGTGTGTGATTGACGTGTGTGTGATTGACTGGTGTGTGATTGACGTGTGTGTGATTGTCGTGTGTGTGACTGTGTGATTGACCAAGCCTAGTTTGTTTACCTCTTGGTGAAGTGTCTAGTCCACGGCATGATGTCCACTGTGTGTGTGTGATTGACGTGTGTGTGATTGTGTGATTGACGTGTGTGTGATTGTGTGATTGACCAAGCCTAGTGTGTGTTTACCTCTTGGTGAAGTGTCTAGTCCACGGCATGATGTCCACTGTGTGTGTGTGATTGACGTGTGTGTGATTGTGTGATTGACGTGTGTGTGATTGTGTGATTGACCAAGCCTAGTGTGTGTTTACCTCTTGGTGAAGTGTCTAGTCCACGGCATGATGTCCACTGGGTTCCCCGCCCCAGCAAAGGCCATGAACTCGTCATTCATCTTGACCAGCCGCAGGAAATCTGGGTCGTCTCGTCTAGAGGACGATGGCATGGCATTCAGTAATCGGATACAAGTAATCGTAAACTGGTAGCCGACGATAACGATACTATAAACTTATTAAATATCAGAAATTAATGGATGCCGTGATATGACATGTAGGAAAGATACTTTTGAAAAACTAGAGGTACGAAGATTGCGTTAGGGTTTAGGTTTATGCTAAAATATCGTTATAGGCGATACCGGATAATCGAATATGTAGAAAAACTATTTGACAAATTTTTATTTTGCCCGAATCAACAAATCTTGTTTACAATAAAATTCCCCTTTCGTCAGCATATCTGACACATGAAGATAAATTATATTCGATTACTCACTGGTATCGTTTACCGAAGCAGATGAGACAGATAATGCTGCCCACAGATAGGTAGATTTCATTATGGGGATCGAGTGGAGTTAGATTCGATTCCAACAATCTCGTTACAAGTACATCTGCCTCAGCTGTAATCGTCGTCTCAATGGGATTCGATTTCTTGTTGATAAACGTGGCCAGTGCATTTTGTGCAATTCTATAGGGACATAAGCCAAAGTAAAAAATCAATAACTTTCAAATATATTTTATTTTTTTTTTTTTTTTTGGTATCACCATAGTCTATATTTCATTTCAATAACAGATGTAATATAACCATATTTTAGCTTATAGATCGGATGTTATTTATTTAGATTTAGTTCCGCAAACTAACGTTTAAGAAACAGTATTATAAGTTACATTTAGCATTTGGAATATCAGATTTAAGAAACGAGGTAATTTATACATAATACTGATATAATATAAGTTCCGTTATTAATATCATCGGTCTGAACGTACGTAAGTTTGTTATTACTAGTTTAATTAACTTGGACTAATTTAATTAACTTAAGACTAACGTTAGCCATAAACTTGGATCTATGCATGTATGTCTAACAGTTGAGTATGTTTAATATTGTTTTGATTTACATTTGTAATAATATTAGAGGATTTAATACTAAGTTTTTTTGTCTAAAAATAGACTTACGATTACTTCCGGTGCATAATTAAGACTAATTTAATTAACTTAAGACTAACGCTAGCCACAAACCTGTAACGGCTTTTGTCTTTGTGTGTTTGACTAAAAGTTGAGCATCTTTAAAGTTGATTTATAACTGTAATAACATTACAGATCTAAAATGTAGAGTTAGCTTGTTCTATAAATAGAATGTCCTTACTTCCGGTGCATCTTCCAGCGACTGCCGTAGTCACCAAAGCCCATGCTGTTGCCGTTGCCGATAAACCGGAAGCTGTAAAAATCTGGCCGGCCAGCGAAGTCCTCCGCCTGCTTGACCAGGGCTTGTCTGATGGTCTGGATGCCATTGAGGACAACGGTCGGTCGGCTGCCCATTGTGATCTGGTAGACATCACCGTACTTGTACCTGGGGGGGGGGGGGGTAGATCGTTAGGGCATTGGCCTATGGGTGCTAGACTTACTAGCACTAGAGGTAGGACATTGTGCTGACCACACACAAGTTACTTAACTGCTAAGGTAGCTAACACAAGGTCAGTGTCTATGTAAATATTTCTTTCCTCATTACTGCTTCGGCATGGAAATAATTATGTAATGCGTTGCTAAGGGAAATTTAATATGATGCTATTTAAATACATTTATATAAGCTGGAAATTTTTTTTATTTTTTTTATTTTGTAATAAAGAATTCTACGAATTAATCTTGATATGAAACTTAAAAAATTCTAAGATATTAAATTGTTTGTTTTAAAATTGTTTTTCCTGTGTTGTTTTTTAGATAAAATATTAAATGATCGTTTTATCCATATTTAGCTTTGAATTATCTCCGTTATTATTGTCACATATCTGTTACTTAAAAACCTGTCTATGACGTAATTCATCTGTTATGTAAACTGTCCCTTACGTCACCTGTCCCTCATATCACATGTTTGTATGTCACCTACCTGTTATTTCACCTGCTCTATAAATCACCTGTCTGTTATGTCACCTGTCTGTTATGTCACCTGTCTGTTGTCACCTACCCGTTTAAAGAACGCTCACGAACATCGCCTTTAATTTCTATCCCATAAATTGTTTCACCAAAGTCGCCTGATTTAATTCATGTCGTTAGGTAATTAGTTATGTTGCCCAATTTTGTGTTACACTGCATTCCAAACGATACTCAAGTCTATAAATAGTAACAGGTAACATTGGTACACTACAGTCACGTGATCTCACCTGAAAGCTGTCAGCGTCTTGTGAGGTTTCTTGCCTAGCTGGAGCAGGTTGCCAAGAACGGGAACTCCTCTCGGTCCTGGTATGTTGATTACGTCCCTTGTCTGGGTAGATCTCAACAGACACCAGAGCAGCAACAACAGGACGGACGAGCAGACGAGCAGTGTGCTGAGGGGTGGGGAGGTGGTCAACAGGCTCAGTAGGGCGGTGATCATGGTGGGGCGGGGAGGGGGGGGCACTGGGGATTAACGGGGATTATAAAGAAGCTACATGTAAAAATTCGTGGCTAAAAAAAAAATGAAAAATTGAGACAACAGCAAGACCACTAACAATTTAAGAAAAAAGATTTACAACCTGACAATTGATTAATATCAAAACTAAAACATAATAAAGGATGAGTTAATTATTAACTGCATCAATGCATGTAGATAGATGTATTCTGTTTCAATACATGTAGATAGATGTATTCTGTTTGATATAAAACCAACATGGATGCTTGAATTGGATTGTATACCAACGCTGAGACTGCTAGTATTATGTGTGCTAATCAACTACAGTTATAATAACGTCCCACATAGCCTACACATTTACCTACACACATATATACGTAAGAGATGTTGGAGTTAAAATAACACGTATTGTTTTCATATCACAATTGGAATATATAGCATGCGTGTGATTGCGAGTTGACTAAGTCATCTTTGTGGCCGCTGTCTTCTCGAACTATCGAGATGAGATTTGTTTTTTGAAAGAGATTAATTTTACAAGAGCGGGATTAGTGAATCTTGTTTTGTAAGTAAACGTATGTATAATAGTATAACAGTGATTCACTTGCTAGTAGCTTGTATATGTTATTGTACAAAAACCGAACAAACGGTAACGTACCTATGTTATCTGTGTAAATACAGGTGTGTCAAATACACACCGTGTGTCCGGTGGGTCAGGTGTGTTAGGTACACTGGTTGAAGCAAGGTGTGTTTGGCACACACTGTGTGTCCACTGTGGCAGGTTCTGGAAGTGTCAGACAGACGGTAGAGCCAGGACTGAGGCTGACCTTGACACGGGATCAGCTGGACCGTACAGGGACGTCTGTGGGACGACTGGACAACAGACGCGGTCAGGCGTGACGGACATGTGTACCCAGGCAGGTTGGTAACCGGGGCATTCCACCAGAGGTCACCACTACACACTGGCTGAACTCGTAGGGTGGGGAGGAGGGGGGGGGGGTGGTAAAGAGATTAGGTGTGGGGGAAGATGGGGAGTGGCTTTTAAAAAGAATTCTATTCAGCGGTTGTAATGTTTTTCTACAAGTTTTTTACAATAAAAGCGTATACAATTAAAACGCATAAAATAAAAGCATATAAAATTTAAAAACCTATAATATAGAACGGTGTCAAATAAAAGCATACAGAATAAGAACATGACGCTATATACCTTTAGCTTGTAAGTATAGTGAGAAACTTGTTACAGTATTAGTTTTTCAATTGGTATTGAGCGTCATCGCAAGTAATGATCGATAGTCTAATATTAACCATAGTCTTTAATCTTTATAATCTTACCGCAATTTTACACAGCTAAATTCAATGGGTACACTTACAACGTGTACTAGTCAATATGTAGATCAACAATTCACGCCGGTCCTAGTAAATCGGAAATTACCTTACAGAGCACGCAAGTTTTTAAAGCCTAGAAACTAGTCATTCTTAAATTAATATCAACAAAATCATCACAGTGATCAACTGAAATAGTTGAATTGAAAGGAAAACGTCAATTGTCGTGTACCTAACGGTTGTCAGGCTTTGTATAATCTGCGACTAATCTCCCTTTCTTTATTTACATGTTCTACAAATAATTTGTATTCTCTGTTGTTGGTTCTCTGTCCAGCATTCGCGTAGTCCTAACCCTGAGTCCACACAGCTTTTATGGGTACCCGACCCGCGTTAGTGAAAGAAAAGGAGGCTGGGCATAGAATCGACCACACAATCATTCATATACCGGTGTCACAGAAACAGGTGAACTCTACTTTATCTTCCCAAAGACTGCCAGGTTCTAAAGCGTAACTTTACTTTGTACTTAAATAGGCCGATCTACTTGAGCCTTTAAGTTTTGGCTTTGTTAAACAATCATGTTATATGCATGTTCTATTTCTCTAAGCATTTTGTTTTTTATATAATCATGGTATAGGCCTGTTCTATTTCTAATCCCACAAGTGTGGTGCCACTACTTTATAAGCTCCACACGTCTCCAGACATCACAACACGAACAAAGAAGACTTTCATGTATTAAAACACTGTAACAAATATTAGTGAACATTTTTATTATAAATCTAGTACAAGCATACATACGTCGAATGAACGAGTACAAGCATACATTCATTGAATGAACTAGTACAAGCATACATACATTGAATGAACTAGTACAAGCATACATTCATTGAATGAACTAGTACAAGCATACATACATTGAATGAACGAGTACAAGCATACATACATTGAATGAACGAGTACAAGCATACATACATTGAATGAACGAGTACAAGCATACATACATTGAATGAACAAGTACAAGAATACATACATTGAATGAACGAGGACAAGCATACATACATTGAATGAATCTTGATTGTTCTATGACAATTCGCACAAGTGTGTGTGTGTGTGTGGTGAGTGTATGTGTGTGGGTGGGTGGGGAGGGGGGGGGCTTGTGAAGAAAGACCACACAGGATAGTCGTCTTTCATTATTGCTCTGGGCTGCATGTATTTTTTTAGCGCCCGTAATGAATAATTATGTGAATTTCATTTTAAATTCTGTCATAATAATGCCCTCGGCATGTCTCTCTTCACACCCCACCCTCCCCTCTCCACCGCCCCCCCCCCCTCTCCCTCCCTCTACTGTCATCTCTCTCAGATAGACCGATGAAAACGTCAAACAATGATAAAAAGTTGAATCAATACATTTCAATTGTTGCTATATTTAGAAACGGGATTCTCCTAATGCCAATCACTAATCTTTCTGTGAAAAGCGTGGCAGCGCTTTGCTCTGTGTTTTAAGACAAATCACACACATATTCATACACATACTCGCCATTTTACATAACATATAACCACATAATGATGGAGTAGTAAAGCATGATTTACATTTCAAAGAAAAAAATCACATACGCTAGTTGAAGTTTGAACATAATCATTAAAATATCGAACTTGAGAAATGTTTGATAAAATTCAACATTCAAAACGAGGCTGACCTCGACTAGATGCACACGGTGCACAAAAATAAATGTCCAATCAACGCTTGCACGTGGGTATTCAACACTGGCCTAAATACAGGACATTCCTTGCCAACCGTCCAATGCTACTTGCCTAAATACAGGACATTACTTGCCAACCGTCCAATGCTACTTGCCTAAATACAGGACATTACTTGCCAACCGTCCAATGATACTTGCCTAAATACAGGACATTCTTTGCCGACCGTCTAATGCTACTTGCCCAGTATCAGCCGTCAAGTACCTACTACCTCTCCAGTACTACGCTAGTGGTCCCAACCGTCCATCATCAACCGTCCATCACCAGCCGTCCATCCTAGCCGTGTTCTGTTATCCGGTGATGAGCTTCAGACTCAGCAGCACCAGCGTACCCAGCATGCACCAGAGCCACGCCCCCGCGGCCCTGTGTAAGGTCAAGGCCGAGTTACAGCCGTCCGTGAAGCAGAGGGCGATGCAGGTCTGGATGTCGTCACGGTCAAAGCACGCGCCCTTCTCGCTGGTGGAGGCACAGCTGCGGACAAACTGCTTCAACATACCTGGGGGGGGGGGGGGGGGGGGGTAGGAGGGGGGGGGGGGACAAGATATTAGACGTTAAACTGTCATAGTTATACTGTATGTAACAAGTTAAACAGTTCAAAACATCACCTGAACAAAGAATAAACATTGAAACATTCACCCCTCATATTTCTATCACGACGATTGTTTACATTATACCTTGTATTGCATACTGTTGCCATATGGCAACGTACCATTGTGAACACGCAGAAATCTAATTTTACAGATACACATTAATTATAGTGTTGCATCCTTTATTATAATCTCCCTTACAAAATAAATGCGAACTCTTTTTAGTAACGGAAATTTTTGTTCCATTTCCGATTTCACTTTAGTGAGACTGTTGACCAGCTGATCACCATGAAGGTTGGTATTTCTTTTTTATTTTCATAAATTACTTCTTACTTCACTATCAACAAATATAATGATAATTCAAAACTATTCTAAATTGTGTAAATTCTATCATATGTATTATGTAATATGATTTATACATATGCTTCAACATGCCTGGGGTGGGGGGGGTGGAGGTGGAGGGGGTGGGGTCAAGATATTAGAGTTAAACTGTTAGTCTGATTTGACACTGTATGTAACAATTTAAACTGTTAAAAACATCACCAGAACAAATAATAAACATCGAAACATTCACCCCTCGTATTTCTATCATGTCAAATGTTAACATTACTATGGAATATAATAACCTGCAAATGTTTACATTAATATAGAATATAACAATCTGCAAATGTTTACATTAATATAGAATATAATAATCTGCAAATGTTTACATTAATATAGAATATAATAATCTGCAAATGTTTACATTAATAGAGAATATAATAATCTGCAAATGTTTACATTAATAGAGAATATAATAATCTGCAAATGTTTACATTAATATAGAATATAATAACCTGCAAATGTTTACATTAATATAGAATATAATAATCTGCATAACATGCCCTCACTATTGCTCGCTCTACTATTTTCCCTGTCTATCTTGTCAACAGAAGCAAGACACGTTTTTCCCTTCCCCGTGTATGGTCTATCATTTATCAAACTACAAAGTTGAGTCTTTACGATACCCCTCACTGGGAGTCACTGCAGCTACCATTTGTATTTATCCTTACGATATCCCGAGTAGAATAAATACTAAATAGTTGACATTTAACAATGTGGAATGTCATCGGCTACTTCTTTTCTCTATCGATGAGTAACTTACACCTATAGTGTCTGATGTTTAACTGTTACAAGTAGAAGAGTTACATTGTGCAGTAACTGATTGCTGTGTGCAACTGACCCATGACCCAGAACACACCTACCTGTGTGCAACTGACCCATGACACACAACACACCTACCTGTGTGTAGTTCAACCATACCCCGGATTACATATACCTGTA